ATGGTTATAGCCGTACCAACAGGTATTAAAATATGGGCGACCGTTCGAGTGCACACGGAACTCCCGGGCAAATCCCGGGATACCCGCCCTACGGGCGGCAACTATTGTTTTTTGAAACAAAAAATCACGTTGAGTCGATAGAAAGCAATAGTACTTACCCTAATTTCGTGAGAGGAAGGAGGCATCAGCCTGTACTAGAAAGAGTAACGAGGTCAGCTGTGAGCAGTGCAAACTGGACCAAGATATACTTAAATAGTTTCTATATAGGGAAAAAGTTGAATTAGTGAAATCAGGAAGTTTTCGATAGATACATCCTTGTCTTGATACTCACAATTACGCCACGGCAGAGCCGTGATACCCGTCCCTTTTAGGCGGGCTTTTCCTTTCAGGGGATACCCTCCTTTCAGGTGGCATTAAAAGATTATACCAACTCTACTTCGGTGAATATTTACGATAGTAGTGACTCAATTAAGCAATTTAGTACATTACTTATAGCATCAAAGACATACATTAAAAGGACATTCTTATATACGGTTAAATTATGAATAATGATATTAAACGTCGTGTGTGCTCCCGGTTATGTCCCCATTGTTAAAGGAGATAGCAGAGGCCCCGAAGTGGTGAGCAATGAATTCAACGATTCATTTAAAGCAAAGGGGGCTAAATATCTGGTACCTTAAAAAGGTATTAGGTCATACTCTGCGAAGAACAATACATCAGACTCGGTAATTGTAAAAGTACAAGAAGAACATTCTAAGGAGTCGAAATATTAGCTAAACATTGAAAGAGTAACTATGAAAATAAACCGTTAATATAAGGACCTGAACGGTTACTTAAAGCTAAATGCTATTTGATTTTCCGCTTATTTTAAGATAAAGGCAAATTGAGGATCAAAAACCATCGGCCCCGATAACCTAGGTATAAACACTCTTACTAGAGCTAGAATTCTAGAATTGAATGAGTGTTTACTTAGTAACAATTACACCTGGGGTGGAAGGCAGGTTATGATACCTAAGGCTGGTAAACATGGTCAATTTAGACCATTAGGAATACCAGCGAGAAGACGGGAGAAAGAAAAGAACGAAAGAGGAAGGACAGTAGGGAGTCAAGTAGGAAGTCAAATGAAGTAATGTATTTCACCTGGTGTGGCATCTTTATGGCGCAGCTAATGGCAGAAATGAGGAAGAAGGGTAGGCAGAAAAGTGGAAGAAAAACGGAAAGTGGGTGGGTAGGAACAAGGGTAGGCGGAAAATGGAAAAACAACTATGAAGAAAGGGATCTCATCTCTATCGTGCAGCTACTTTACAGGTAGAGAGGACGAAAGAGGAAAAAAGAAGACAAGTGATGGATTTCACTAGGTGCGCAGCCATCTCTATCTTTAAAGTTCTCAGATTCAAGGCGTTTGCAGTGGTCATGGGAAACGGCAGGATCAAATCATCAAGCGCAATTACAAATGGTCTCAATTGATCAATATAGTCGAAATATACTCAAACAAAGAGTCACTTGGCCGTCCGTTAACCATCTCGTTTATAGCACTGCAAGTATTCAAACTTATCGAGACTATCCGGGGTCTGAAGTAAAGATTGATTCTGTAGATAGTATTTCATTCTTTCTACGGAAACTCAAAATCCTGGAACAAACGGGTTCTCTGAGACTCTTTCGGAACACCAAGGGCCCTTGCGTACCATATTTAATGTACCTTTTCCAAAGCTAATTGAAAGAAAACCGGTTTTAGAGATCCTGTTAGCGTTAAAACAGTCAAATCAGATATAAGTACACCTGATTTTACATGTGCAAACAGAAATGACAAATTTGTACCGGTTTCTTCTACAGCACGAGGAGGGCTGTCCAACGGTCTTGACACAAGTAGCTCATTGTGAGATTAGTTCGTACCAAATAGGACAAGAGTAACTTTAGCCGTTTTTTTTTCTTTTTGCTTTTTTCCTGGGCTCTTTTTGCTTCTCTTTTGTTTTCTATTTATTTTGCTCTTTTCGGTTCTGCTTTTGTTCAAAATTAGATCTGAAATTAGCTTAGGCGATACCAACGCTGGCTTCCACACAAGGCATGTATACCTTTCTGGAAATCATTGCTTTCTTGAGCTATAATGCGATTCGACGTTTGAAAAAAAAATCACACTGCAGACAATACTTTAAAAAGATTCCTGGCTCCATAGTTTCGTCCCCTCTGCCTCTGTTTCCTGTGAGCATACTCTCCACTCTGGACTTGTAATCATTCAGACAGCATCAGTCTGCAGGGAAATGTGCTCTACACCTATTTCCTTTGCCAAAAATGAAATCGTCAGTACTTCTACTCACCATTTCAGTTCCTGCTTCCCAGTGAGCACATTCCAGAATAGATAGCAGTAATTGGCACATATAGTTTTAAAGTCCATTTGATCTCAGCTTGGGCTGGAACATTCAGAATGAGCGAAATAGTAGGTAAAGCAGAGCCCAATAATTTTGAAACCGCAGCTAATGATTCTGAAGCAGAACATACTTGTACCACCATGGCACAGCGTGCAATTTAGAAAGACAATTTAAAGTAATTGAAAAGTTGGGGGCGGGCTTTGGTCGAATGTTGAAACTATATTCTTCCAGATAACCCCTCTGACTGTTAGAACAGGGCTTCTCCAACAATCGTGAAGAAACAAAACTAGTGCACTTGTACGACCAGTTTGAATAGTCCATAAAGCCATGACCCTCATCGGTGTTCTGGCATCGTTTGGGGTGTTTCCCGTTTCGCCCTTGCCACGTTTAATGATTCTACGACCAGCGACAAGCATCAAGCCTCGGCAGGTTTTGGACACCCTCACATCGGGCCAAATTTGTTGGCCTTAGAATTAAAGAGATGTCCTGCAACGGAATATTGACCGGCATGTGTGTCATGACGTCCTCTGTATCCATTGTGCCTGCCCTCGGTGCTCCATACTCAATATTTTCTGGCGTCAAAGGGAAGTTCCGCTTTTTTACAAAGCCATGATACTGGTTTTTCTGAGCACACAGTTGCCCGTAGATTTTACTTACCAGATTCATGTTCTCGTGGCACTTTACTAAGTGCTGACTTACAATATTGCTGACAGTAAGAAAAGGGCAGCCGAGGATTTTCAACTTTGATGTATTTCCCCAAGTTATTGATCACTTGCAGCTTAAGTCCGTGTTCTGGGGTCTTTGGGTACGCTCCTCTACTCTTTCTGGCCGGGAATGCTCCACATTTATAAATTTTGGCCTGGCAATGATGTCATGAAGTCGCTGATTTTTTTTATGAGCCAATAGAACACCACAACTTTCCTTCACAAATTCAACACCTGGTGAACAGCCAGAGCTGAAACACGTATTAAAGACAGTTTGGTGTGCCACTCGCAATAATTTTCGTACCAGTAATATGCTCCCATGACTTGTAATGCCCTGGCCACGAGGATGTGCCCGCCAGGTCTCAAAATCATGATCATTTTCGAAGCCAGACAGTATCACATCATTTGAAAATTTTGATTGCTCATGAATCACATGCATCAATATCCCTTTGTTCTTCAATACACCATCGACCTGGCACTGTTCCGATGCTGGCTCAGACATTTCGGATTTTTGAGATATACAAAGGTCCTCAAAAAGCAGCACAATTTTGAAATCGCCGTAGAGTGAACGGCCTTGTCTTCCGTGCTCGTGCACAAGTGATATTGCTGGCCAGAAGAAAGCCCATTGTGTGCAAAGAAACAAGGGTTTTCCGTTTCGTTTCATTTCTGGGTTTATTCGAAATCTAGAATATTCAGAGCGACACTCTTCGATGGTACCATAAGGTGTAATTATGCATGATTATACGCTGTTGTATTTGTCGATCACGGGCTTCGCTTAGATGCTCATCAAGCCAGTCCAATATTTGCCATTAAATTCAATATACAGTGCATTTTTCCGATTGATTGGCGGCTTTCGGGTTAATTATTTTCTGTTCCAGAATTTACACGTTACTGTTCTACAAAGTACACTACGGAATATACAGTGGAATTGCATATTTCGTTCACAGGGCAAGACTTTTACGCCACTCGCATACTTCCTTGAGTCTAGAGCTCACCAGAAGCTGGAGGCTACCCAATTGATCTTTCAAGACCCACTTTGAGCCAGAGCCCACAAATTCCTATTAGCCCAAAATTCAGGAAACCTTTTCTTGCTGCAAGAGAGCCGAAGGTATATCATTAAATCCGCCCGTGGTTTCATAAAGGATTCTCCCCAACTCAGATATCCACCCATTCGTGCCATGTTTTGGGTGATGGTAATTCTGACCATGAGTGAGTTGAGGGATATACAGCAGCTTGCCCAGAAAAGAATGGTCCTCTAAAAACTACCAGGCCAAATATGCTTCTGATTTAGTCATTTGTAAATTTCAAGGAATTGGCTTCCATGCCCACTCTAAGATTGCATGGACATGAGGAATAGAGTCTAAGCATTTTTTAAATGGAGACCATAATCAGTTGGGGCCCTCCGCATGCCCATTCTCAAAGCGACCGTTCCAATAAGCCATCAAATCCTCACAGAAGATACCTTTTTCTTTAATCAGCATTCAAAAATACGCAAAAATCTAATAACAATTCGAAGTAAGTGTGGGTTGGAGGTTTTGGAAATATCTCTAGCCCTGTCCACCATGCTCACATAGATAAGAATGCTTTGAAGAGGAAAGAGAGCCTTTAGACCACCCGAAACCGCCTAAAATCGCAAGCCGTCCAAAATAAGTGTTTTAATCTCCACTCAATTATTTACAGGCTTCAATTTCAAACTTCGCCGCTTCTTTTGGTCGGTCGCTTTAGGTAGCGGTCTAATTTCGTGTGCGTACTCGGGCCAGCAGTAGCTGCTGACATTGCACTTCCCGCCCCTCTCCAAAAACAAACATCAGATTGATCCCACACAAATCCACTACAGCTCAAATCCAGTCCCAACCAATCCAACGATCTTAGGAAATGGCAGTAAAAGTCCCACCCGCTGCAACCTGGGCCGCTGGTCTCGTCACGTGACCCGTCTGCCCCAGCGCCAGCGCCGGCTGCGAAAAGCCGGCCCTAAGGCCTCGTGGACCAACCCCAGAAAACACCATGCCCATCCCCGGCCCTTTTCGTTTGTGGCCCTGTTTTGTGGCCCTTTTCTTTTGCGGCCCTGTTTTTGTTGCTTTTGTGCACCAGGCTCGGGCTATAAATAGCAGCCTCCTCGCCCGGTTCTCGTGCCGAAGTATTTCCCCAGTTTCCCCGGTTTCCCCAATTGTCACGTGGTATCCGCCATGTAGGCATCCCTCACGTGGCAAGAGGAAAAAACTTCCGTACAGGGAAAGTTTTTTCCCTTTCCTTTCTTCCTTAAGGGTTTTTAGAGAATAGTAGTATCCTAAGGATCCGAAGTACCGTACATACTTGAATTGAGAAATCTGATACTGAAACCAATTAGGCCAACTTCTCAGTGGCCCCAGTTCTCAGGGCCTGCGCCGCGCGGCCCCCCATTGTTCCCCAGGCCTCATTAACAAGTCTCCCCACCACTCCCATACCATCCATGCTTGTGCTTCCAAACACGCCCTGTACGCCGCTCCCCCTAAAAAATGGGGCCGCAACGCTGCAAATATTGTCCCCAGAGACCCTCTCGTTGCGGGCGTCCATTGGCTCTGCCCCGCCGGCAAACCATGCCGAACTAGCACAGTATATGCTCCGATTAGAGCAGTATTTGGACAGCATCTTGCACGACATCGTGCGCCCATACCTGTCTGCCACGCTCGAAAAAGTGGCGGCCACTGCGCTGGGCGCCCCGCTCTCCGGCTCGGTGCCCTGGGCCAACATTGCCCCGGCAAAACCGCCAAAATCCTTGCGTATACATAGGCCCGCCGTCGAGTGGACGGTGGCCTCGGAAATGGGCGCTGTGGTCATCGCCCAGGCGGAAACGTACATGCGGCTCGGCGCCGATCTCATTGCCGATCTCGTGCGCGAAGAGCCGGCGCAAAACGGCGGTGTTTCGTCGAAAGAGCTCGACGAGAAATGGCGGCTGGTGGCAGAGTACTACAAGTCCGCCACTCTGCTTGTGTGCTTCGGCCGGCGGCTCCAGACGGCCGTGTGCCTGCGCAAGCCGGACGCTGTGGTGTTCCACCCCTCGGTGTTTGCGCTTTTCGAGCGGGTGTGTGACATTGGCATCCAGATGTCTATTGTGTGCAAGTCCTCGTGGATGAACCGGACCACGTTCTCGTCGCGCGACTTGTTCACGTCCTCGAACAACGGCGTGCTCTGCCGCGTGGCCATCTGGGTGTTCAACGAGGTGCTTGCGTGCCAGAACCTCATCAAGGAACTCCAGAGATCCAGCGAGCCGAACCTCGTCGGCTTGAACTCCGACAAGTGGCCCCAATACTTGGCGGTCTTCTTCAAGTACGTCACGGCGTACTCCGGCCTTTTCCTCTCGATCGAAAACTACCAAAAGTCCAAGCTCGGCCAGGCAATCGGACTCCTCAACTTCTCGCTCCTCACGCTCCAGAGCAGGAACCTCGGCGAGGCAAAAAAAAGAGGCCTCGACCGCCTCACCCGCAAGATCTCCGGCCGCAAAAACGACCATTTCATTGCCAACCTCCAGTCGGTGACGGCGCTAGATATCGACAAGTCCGTGTTCCTGGGCCTGTCCGGGGCCATGCTCAGCGACCTCTCGGTTCTCTTCGACCAGCTCGTGCTCCTACACTTGTACTTTTCCAAAGAAAACGACAATCTCCGCTTCGAGCCCGTGGCCGACTGGAAGGATTCCCGCGCCGACCTGAAATGGCCGCTAGGCGCAAAGATCCCGGTGTCGCCAGCGAAAGAGTACATGCCCCGGGCCATTTCGGAGGCTCCTCAACACGCCGCTTCTGGAGGCACCAGTCCCAAAAATCATGTGGCCCATGACCGCGGCGGCTATTTCTGATCTACAGGTTGGGGGAAGAACTAGGGCATTGGAGCCCCGTGGATGCCGGCTCGGCCCGTGTCTTCTGCCGCTTGACGCTCGCTGCTACACAGAAAGCTACTTGATTTGGGCCAACACACACATACGTCTTATGGTGGCCCTTATTTGTCTCTGTTGCTGCCGAGAACGCGATTGCAGTCGACTGCTCTGTGATGAGTCAGTGCCTGTTCGTTATCGATTTGAGCGTGGTTTAGATTGGCCGGAAGCGCGCGGGGACTGCACAGCATGGTTATCTTCAGCACCTGCACACCGCCGCCATATAGACCCGCGTTATCGGAATATTGGCTCTGGGACTGTAAATTTCAGCTTGCCATGGGTAAAATCACCAGAGTCAGAACAGGATGCTGGACCTGTAAAAAACGGTATGTTCGAGTGTGGGTCACACCTGGAAGATTAGCATGGCCTGTAGTGCTCTAAGCCATGCCAGTTACCACTGTTCTTTACTAACAGCCAGACACCGCAAGTGCGATGAGGGAAAGCCCCATTGCAACAATTGCCTTTCTACCAACCGGCCCTGCGAGGGGTATAAGATGAGGTTACTTTTCGATACCGACAGTCTGGTGCTGAAGGAAAAAGCGGTTTTGAAGAAAAGAACGAAATCCTTTACACACCATGATGCATTTGTCCGCGGTGGAAATCAAATGATGATGAACAGCACTCCAATGATACGGGCGGTCACTCTGTTGGAGTCCCAAGAGTCGTCTCTAGAGCTCAGCTCTCATAGCATGTCTTCCACAAACTCTGTGAACGAATCTGTGCTCGAAAGCTCTGGACAAACACAGAAGTTCCCGGTGAATGTTCAAAACCAACCAACAAACCGTGAGCGACTAAAGCTCGAGATGGATTCCGGGATGGAGGCAAAATCTCCGCTCAGCCAGGCTTTTGGTGATCTATTCTTGGCACACCGAAATGCAGAAAGGCTTGCAAACATGCCCCTAGATACAGCTCTCTCGGACATTTTTGCCACGCCACATGAGACCGACACTCCTGAGAGCACTAATTCCCAATCTTTCACGAATTTTGATGCGGAGCTTCTTCAATTGATTGGGAAAACGCACGTATTCGATGACAGCTTGACTTCTCCCCCTGCCAACGCATCACTCGTGATGTCCCATCAGGAGGAAAACCGTATGTTGAAGCACTTCTTCAAAGACCTTCTACCATTACTCGATGCACATCCTAAATCACCCTGGCCTGCCTTGGCCCTCCAGTACTGTGATTTTGATGTGGCAAGGAGTTGCTTTATCTCGCTTGCGTGCATTCATATATATGAAAGCAGAAAGGGAGGAAACGAGTATTACGACAAGGGAATGGCGCACATCCACAGCACAATGACACATCTCATCGACTCCATTTCAAGCTCGACCCCATCGTCTGATTCACCGGAGAGCATTTCTGAAGCAAGCAACAAGATGCGCATCCAATCATTTGTGATCTTGGTGTTAATGAACGTTCACATTCTCTTCGCAGTTCTAGAAAAAGGCAAATCTTCGCTTTCTAGATACCTCTTCAAGGTGTTTGGCTCGGTTTGCCAAAACAACGATTTCTATCGATCGTTGATGAAAAACGAAAGCAAGGGATCCCTCGTGGTGGTGCTCTCTTGGTACGATACCGTGAGTGCCATGGTGTCGCCTGATTGTAGGCTTCCCTACTGTAGCCCCGACTGGTACGGATCCTACCAAGATGTGATTTCAACGCTGAAGATGATGGGTTGCCCCGGCGAAATCTTCCGAGCGCTTTCGGAGGTGTGCTTTCTTCGGCACGAGATCCACAACGGCACCATCACCGACGACGAGGACTTCGAGGCAGAAATAGATACTATGAAGAGGCAGTTGCTTGACTACAGAGACTACATTGATTTCAAGGATGGAGAGGACTACAGTTTGCGGTTGAAAGGTGCCCAGTGCTGGAGCTTGGCGGTGTACATTTCATTGCTCCGGCTCTTCAGAACCGAGCAGCGACGTGTGGCCATCCGAGCTGCGGTGAACGAATTCATAGACGTCTATGGCTCCATGCCCAGCGAGTCGCCAATAGTGACACAGATGGTGTGGCCCGTCTATGCGATCGGGTGCGAGTGCACGACGGCTTTCGAGAGAAACAAGCTTCTGCAGTTCATGGACACGTTGTACGAGACGGCGCAAATGGGCACATTGGCGTCGTTGGGGTGGGTCGTGCGGCAGGTGTGGCAACGGGGTGTATCGCAGGAAAAGGTTCTTAGCGAGTGGCTAGAGGAGGGTGTCGACTACCTTCCCCTCTGACGACACACACATACGGGTGGATGGATCATAGATATCATTACACATGAGCATTCATTCTTATACAATAAAAACAAACCGGGAGGGTTGCGCAAATTGCTTACAATTTTTGCATGGCAGCAATGTCGGTGGACTGGACGTGGTCCTCGTCCTCCTCAATGGCGGCCTGCAACTCGTCCAAGGACACCAAGGCGTCCTCGACAACCAAGTTGATTTGCAACTTCTTGATGCCGAAGCCGACGGGGATCCACAGGGAAGCACCCCAGGTCAAACCCTCCATCTCAATGGCCTTGACGTTGGCCAACAACTGCTCCAAGTCGGTCTCGTCGTCCCATGGCTTGACGTCCATGGTGACAATGGACTTGGCAGCAGGCTTGGGGCCCTTGGAGGCCTTCTTGGCAGCGTATTCGGCCAATCTCTCCTGCTTCAACTTCTCGGCGGCCTCGTCGACCTCCTCATCGTCGGAGCCGAACAAGTCGACGTCATCGTCGTCCTCCTCGGCAGCGGCAGCAGAACCGGCTGGGGCCTTGCCGGCTGGCAAGGTCTCGAACTCCTCGGTGAAAGAGGCAATGTGGTTAAACCATCTGGCGAAAGCTGGGTAGGTCTTTTGGAAAGCCTGGTAGACAGAGACGTCGGCAGAGGTGGCGGCGGTACTGGTTGAGTTAGTACGATGTTGCCGTTGGCTGTTTCGTCAGGGCTTGTTTGCACTAGGGATTGCTTGGAAAGTCAGGGATTTTATTTAAATCTTCGTTGTCACTCACACGGTGGGTCTTGAATCCACCTCATAAACACGGACCAAAGATTGCGATCATCATTCAAGAATATAGTTGCAACAAAAACAGGCCGTTCAGGAGAGAGCTGGGGTGCACGTGAAAGTCATCGGAAGGTTGCAGAAATGTGCAGCCCTGTGTTTCCGCTTTTTTTCCCGGCGTCCAGGTTTCCCGTTGATGCGCCTGTTCCCGCCATTGCCTGGAAAGTGGCTTTTTTTCAAGGGCGCCAGTTCAGATTTAACAGAGAACTGGAGACCTTGAAAAGATGTAAAAAAACATACCCGTCGACGTAGGACTTGTCAGCCAAGAATTCGTTCAAAGACTTGAGGGTCTCGACCTTAGAGAAATCGGAGAAAGACATTGTGGATGAAGAAAAGAAGGTAATATATAGAAAAACTTTTTTCCCTTGCGCTGCCGAAATTTGAGAAGCCGGGGACCTTTTTTTCCAGGCGGTGCGCGCACGCCCGCAATTCACTTAGGGCTCCACGGTGCACTCCTGGCCGGCGCCGTGTTGGGGTCTGGCGTTGGCTGCAGGAGGGAAAGAAAATATAAGCTAGATCAGTGGTAGAAGGAGATCTACTTGAGAAGTTTATTATATTTTCAAGATTTGTAACTGTGTTGGGCGTGGGGCATGTGAGTATTTGGAGGGGTCTTAGGCATGTCGAGCAGGCGAGAACCACCCAAGCCTGGAGCCGCGCGTGGATGCAGGACCTGTTTATTGGACATGTGGCTCTGGTGCGCGGAACGAGATGGAAGGACCGGCTCGTTGGATTGGGTTTTTGAATTGGCTGAATCATTATATCCGTGGTATAGTGAATTATTTGATACACTGGATTAATTTGATTCATTGGACTGTCTGGTATACTGCATTCATTCATTGAATAAACTGGTTCATTATATTCGTAGTTTATTTGATTGTTTGGTGCATTGGATTAATTTGATTCATTGAATTGTCTGGATATCTTTGGTTCATTGAATAATCTGGTACACTAAATCAATTTGATTCACTGAACTGTCCGGTACACTGGATTGATTTGATCCATTAAGCTGTCTGGTTCACTAGATTGGCTGTTTCATTGGACTGCCTGGTTCACTGGACTGGTCGGGTTCATTGAATTGTCTCGTTAACTGGACACTCCTGGCCCATTAGAGTAACTGGATTGGTCTGCCACCCGTTTGGTTGTTTCTGTAGTCTTTGACTGGCTTGTGACTAATTCGTGTGGCTCCATCTGTCCCACCCCATCCTTCTGGCCGTCAGCTCGCCATATTCTTCTTCTGTCAATCTACTTCGTCTCATTTATCGGTCTATTCAGCCTTCTTGAACAATTCTTCCACTGATCTGTTCAACCGTTTTCTTCCTTTCGACCTATTGGACTGTTCCCATTGGCCCACAGAACTAGTCTCTATCTTTATTGCCATGGTCCTGACGATCTAACCAGTACCAATTATTCTTTTGCCCATCCCATCTATTTTGTGTGCCTTTCGCCTAACCTTTTCATTGCCCTCTATCTTTCCTACCCTTCCCGTCCGTATTCTCTCGAACTAGAGGCCTTTTCTATCTACGACGACATTCTCATACTGCCGTCGTATCGAGTGCTCGTCTGTCCCAGCCAGCTGCGGAAACCACCGCTCATAAATCATCCCATGTCTCGCCCCAACCCAATTCCAGGAAAGGCAACTTCGAACTTGCCAGCCAGTGACTAGCTATATATACAAGAGCATGAAACAAACACCAAGTCGGTCAAAGCAAACCACACCAACCAAACCACACCAACCAAACCACACCAACCAAACCACACCAACCAACCACACCAACCAACCACACCAAGCAATAACATGAAGCCAAAAACCGCCAGGCGTTTCTTCCAAGCTGCGCTCGCATGGGATTCCAGTACACGTCTCACTGCGCCCTGGAGATCTAAGCACATCATGACTCTTTTGGCCCCAGCCCTACACAAATCCTCCTAGACACACCCGGCCGAGTTCAAATTGTATTTCCTATGTAGCGTCCCGGCTGCGTGGCATAAGCCGTCTCAGAGTGTATCATCATACTTCCAATGCGGGCACTCGAAAGACGCGTAGCAGCGGAACTCGTTGCTGAGCCCGTTCTTGTGCTCCGGCAAAAAAGACGTGAGCCGTGTTTCCGGATACGTTTTCTTCATGATGTCACGCATCCTTTCGCCCGTGGAAGAGATGAGCTTCCAGCGGTGGTCGCCCGAGGCCGTTTTCTCGCCGTTGTCCGGGGCCAAAAGGTTCCGCGCCGCCTGGGCCGACTTGGTCTGGCACTGCTCCTCCAAAAAGGGCGGGTCGATCAAGAGCCGGTGGCACCGCTTGCGGATCACGTCCGGCACCTCGTGCGGCCGCCTGTAATCGTACTCGAAGAAGTGGTTTTTGCCCGCCATCACGCCAAACCGGCCGTCGTATTCGAGTAAGTAGATGTGCTTGGTGGGCACCTCGTTTTCCGGCATTCTCGTCACCGCTGCGTACACGGAAGGGGCACTGGCAATGCAGATCACCGTGTCTTGATCGGCGCCTTCTAGAAGAGCCCGGGCAAGCACGTCGGCGGTTTCGTCCGCATACCAGAACTGCGAGAGCTGCCAGTTCTCCTGGAACGTGTCGATGGAGAACTTCTGCCGCTCGAACTGCTCCTCCAGTTTCTGGAAAAGCTGTTCGAACTGCTGTTTGCGCTGTGTTTCCTCCAGCTTGAACTGCTGGAGGGCCGCTAAAGTGTCGGCAGAAAGCGTGAGAGGTTCGTCGTCCGAGTCCATGGCGAATACGTGCAGAGCTTCCTCCGATCCAGGCTTAAGCAGGCCGACGTGGAAAACAGAGATTGCTCATTGGAGTTTTTTTGGGCAGGGGTCGTGCGCAGGCCAAATACGGGCCCGGGCTGCCGGGGGCCCTGGAGAGGCGGTGGTACTACGTGATTTGTGCTCTGTATTTGGGGCTGGCAGTGGGAGACAAAAGGGAAAGGCCCAGGCTCTCTTTTGGCTCGTTTTTGGCTCGTTTTCCGTGGGTCGGAGGTGTTTCTGCCGAGGGTAATATGCGGACGCAGGCCGGATCAACGGTTCTCGGAAACAACGAAGCCAGCGACCACTGGAATTCCTAGATATTCTAGGATTGTGTGTTTAGTAGGTTACAACAAAAATACATCCTGAGTCTGGGGCACATGCACGATGGCCTTGTTTTTTTGGATCTGGAGGGACAGAGAGCCTCACGTGACGACCAATACGGCTTTGGGTCCCCGAATATAACGAATATGATATAATAGGTATAATACAGAGATATGATATGAAAGCTATGCTATTTGGATATGACAACATGGATGTGATATCATGGATCGGGAAAAAACTTCACTTTGAAACTGTCACTAGGCCATACTTTGGAAACGCGTAAGGACACACTGAATACGCTAAGCCTATAGGATCGAGTGAGTGTACAATGCTCTACAAAAGGCGAACTCGACTCTGGAGTATGCAAATAGGAAACATGAGCTGGAAGAGCCGCTTCGGGCCTTTACGGTGTGGAATTAGCCATGATTTCACCCTGCTTTATTAGGTGGAAGGGCGCTCGTGGCAAACACGACCAATTGGTTAAACTGGCAAAACCCAAGCCTTTCGAAATTGTTAATACAATGTACAACACAATGATTTGTTAAAACATATTAAGTTTGTTGTTTATAAAGTGTAATTTCCAAGTTAAGTTTTTTTTAATTTCGAAGAGACGCATCACTTCTTTGGAAAATTGCCGCAATAATATTTTATCAAGCAACATAGCCGTAGAAAAAGGAAAAGAAAAACAAGAAACAAAAAAATCAGGAGAAACAGAAAAAAGCAGAAGATCCGAAACTTGAGGACAGTTCAATATCAATGTCATGGAAATTCTAGGGGCAAGAAGTTTAATCAAACTCCGCTCAGATTGACCTATGAATCACACGTTCGTGCGCGTTGTTCTGCCTCTGGGACGCGATATTAATGGGTGCGAAATCACGACCCATAGTCAAAACCAGATATATTCAGACAAAAGTGCTTTTTGAATTCTTAAATGTTGTTTGAATTGGAATGTCTGGGCTCCCCTTGAAAAGGTTTCGTTGTTGGACAATCTGACCGAAAGAAGTGCATACAATTGTAGGCTCTAATAGCGAGTGTTGTATCACCAACACGCGAGAGTAAAAACTGACCTGGAGGGCGTTAACAAGATGTCTGCCCCAAAAAATACCATATTTCCTTCCTAGCACTTTGTTGGCTTAAGTTTTGAAATGCCACTGGTGTGGTTGAGAGCATCGTAATACACCCTGGATCTTGATGAAAGCCATAGGATGTGCATCAATACTATGATTTTGTGGACAGTATATAGTTTGAATAAATGTTTCGATCGGCAATAAATAAGAATAAATATCAGTCTGTGTTGATTTCTACGATTTCGTATCTTGGAGGCATTGCAAAAGCAAGTGTTTTGCGATATAGGCCGTATCCCTGGACTTTATTGAATGATTAATCATATCGAGACCGCAAAGAGCTGTTCTCATCAGGACAAAAATGACTATCATGTCGAGCCATACTAGACCAAGAGTGCAGCAAGTCAAGTACACCAATATAAATCAGTAACCCCAAGATGAAGCAGCAGCCAAGAATGACATCGCCCATCCGCCCCCTATATTATCTTTCGAGAAGCCACGTGCGGCATATTCTAAAATGATTTTGTCAGGGGCTGAATTCCCTTTTATTCGAGCCCACACCAGTCAGTGGGAGAATCAAGACCGCGCACCACATTTCAATGTGGTCTTATTTGTTTGTCACGGTAGATTTTGGTCACATTATTATCTCACGCTCAATATAGAAGGGGAAACAATATATTGCCGGAAACAATCTATTTTGAAATATATCGAGTAGTCAGCCACGATACACTCTGACACGATGGAATCACTATCCGGCTAGCCCACACCCATATTCTCTTTACACTATATAACACTCAACATGCTTGCCCTGAATACATCTGAGTCCTATATTCAAGGGCATGGTACCGCACCTTTGCACACTTATAATAATCACAAAAATACCCTCGCCCACAATAGACCCCCAAAGCAGCTTTCCAAATAAGTCGTTGACAAGATATTTCAAAAAGACCTCCCAGTAGACTTTGACAGTAGACTTTGACAAAAGCCGTTCAGCCAAAGTAAGTACATTCAGAACAGCCCAAAACACGCCCGCGCAGCTGGCGCACCGGCGTCCTGCACACACGCGCGCCCCATATGATCTCACAAACATCATCACAACCCAGCGCTTAAACCACCCATAAGCGCCCTAACAAGTGCACCAAAAACACCCCACGCCGCCCCAAACCCCCGTGGAATCGCTACAGTGGTAAAACCACCGCGGAAAGACCCCTGCGCCCGAAAAAACGCCCGAAAACGCCCGCAAAATGCTGTTTTCGTGCACCGTCGGCCAGCTCGTCAACCACCTCCAGGCAACGCTCGCCGTAAACACCCATATCCCCCTAGAAACGCTCTGGGAAGCCGCCAGCAGGCACACACACACCACGGTGCTCGACGGGTTCCAAAAAAACGTCGTTTGGCGCGCGCTTTTGGCGGTCCCCGGCGACCCGCTAGTCGAGATCTATGCCCGCAACCAGCCGGTGCCCTTTGACCGCGAGCTCTCGTACGGCGCGCTCCTCCGGCTCGGCAGCGAGGCGGAAATCACGCTCCGGCCCTCGGAGCCGTGCCAGTTCCGGTATTTGACCAACACGGCCGACTACGCCATGCTCAAAACAAGCTTGGGCGAGCACCCGTTTGCCTTGCTCGTGGTGATCGCGCGGCACGGCGCGGAGGGCGTGTTGAACGCGGACTTGGCACGCGAGGCCGGCCAGGACATCCGCCTGTTGCGGCTCCGGCTCATCAAGCTCGAACAAGCCGCGCTTGTGGTGTGCCGCAACGTGTACGTCAACAAGAAACACACCACGTGCTCCGTGCACGTACGGTTCGCCGGCGGCTTGGCGGCAGCAAGTGCGCAGGACGATGCCGACAACAGCCTCGACGCCACGCGCGACGTGGCCCGCTTGCGCCGCGCGGTGGTGGCGGCGTTGCAGAGTGCGCCCAACCACTTGCGTGGGTTTTCGGACTTGCGCAAGGAGTTGCGCCTCGACGGCTCGCGCCTGGCGTCCAAGTTCTTCCGTAGCGTGTGCCTCAAAATGCACCGCCAGGGCATTGTCGAGAAGCTCCACGTCGAGCTTCCGGCGACACGCCAGCGCGTGTACGCCATCCAACTCGTGGCCGACGCGCCCGCGCAAGCCGCAGCTCCCGACGACCTCGAGCTCCCGGAGATCGACGACCCCGCGGCGTTCGGCGACTCCGACGTGGACAGCGACTCGCCGGACCACGCGGTTGAGCACACGTTCCCCGTGCTCAACCGTATCTTTCCCGTGTTCCACCAGATATTCCAGCAGGTGGCCGCCAGCGAGCGCCGTGGCGTCACCGCAGGCGAGGTCAACAAGGCGCTCGTGGGCACCGCGGACTACCGCCCCTTTGCGCGGCTCTTCGAGCTGCTCCCGAGCTACCTCAGCAACCTGAAGAACTTGAAGCCCTTCAAGAAGTACGCCGAGCCCTACGACGACTACTCTATCATCAAGCTCTACGAAAACGAGGGCAAGCTACGCTTCTACAAGTACTTTGCCATGCCCTTCTGTTCCGAGGAGAAACCAGCCCCCAAGCCGTACAGCTTCGTGTCCAAGCCTACAAAGCTCCTGCTCACAGCCCTCCAGAAGAAGTTGCACGTGGCCCCCAGCAAGGTTTCCAACGACTCTTTGCGGGCCAAGAAGCGCCGCTTGACGCTCTTGGACCGCGCCCCAGAACCGCTGCCCACCCCACAAAAGAGGCCCCGGCGCGTAGACTCGAAGAAAGCGAGCATTCTGCCCGAACCTCCGGCACAGTTGTTGTCTCATATCAAGCCCCAAGCAGAGAGCACCACGCAAGCATCGACTCTCTCGGTTGAGGAAGACCTCGAAAGCATCGGCCGTGCCATCGAGGCTGCTCAGAAGCCGGCTACCCGAAGACGCGCGGCGCCCCGCTCGTTTGCGGAAATGGATCCTATGGATGTCGCTGATGATTCCGGCGACGATTACCTCCCCAAGCTCGAGGGTGACGGTGAGGCATTGCGTCTGGAAGACGACATGGCAATGGAAGACGAGCCGGCCAGCGACAAGACTAGCCCGGCTCGCTCTAGCGGCGAAAAAGCAGCGCCAGTGGCTATGCCCGAAATCGACAGTCCCCCATTCCCTTCCATGAAACCCAATTCGCAAGCAGCATCGGCAAAACCTGCCCGTAACAGGCGCCGCGAACGACACCAGTTGACCGCCTCACAGGCAGAAGGCTCTCTCAAGGCCATTAGCCGAAGAGACCACATTTTAGACATCATTCGCGAAGAAGGCGGTGCAACTTTCAAGAGCGCATCACTCTGCCGTAAGCTTGACGAGCGACTTGGCCTGGCCACCAAGACAGATAGCAAGACGCTCAACAGGGACATCACTCATCTTACAGAATCAGGCGTCCTAGAATCTCAGAAGGTTTTGGTTGATTTCGAGGGAAAGCAAGTCGAGAAGCGCGTGCTTGTGCTCAAAGACCCCCTGCAGAGGCCAACAGCCGAGGTCATGGAATCTTTGAAGGCCAAATACGTCGAGCACATGAGCAAAAAGAATATGAAGATTTTTGAGCGGCGCTTGATTCAGTCCGAAATGAAACTCTACGTTGAGAAGCCAAACACAACGATGGTTTCGCCCGTCACGCGCATGAGAAGAGGGAAAGGCAGGCTCGCCACTTTGGGCGAGGAAGGCTACGAAGAACCCGAGGTTGAAGATGAAGATGAAAAGCCCCAAACCTCAAGGAGGAGCCAGACAAGCAAAAAGAACGAGGACTTGGATATCTTGGAGCGCATCAAACGCGCGAAAAGACCAAGAAAGGCTACAATCGCTTCTGTTCCATCCTCTGGGCCCAGGCGCACAAGACGCAACATCAAGATCGAGAGGTCCGGTGCCACTATTGTGTACAGGTCGGTTGTCATTTCGAAGACATTCTCTAAAGACGCAATTGACTTTGATGCGATTGCTTCCTTTCTCGAGGATATAGATGGGGCGTTGTTGCGGCAAAAGTGGGGCACACTTCGGCGCCTGTTTGGTGGTGCAGAGGCAGTCAGCAAAGGTGTGGAGACTTTTCAAAATATGGTCCTCCAGGGAGTAGAGGATGGCCATATTATGGAAGAAGATCTTTTGGAGGGCGACCTTCGGTTCTTCTTGGACTTCTGGACGAAGTTTGATAAGACCACAGAATTTGCTGTCATCGATGAGATGCCCTTATGGTCCACTTTCGAAAAGAACACGGATGAGTATACGTTCAAGCGAGGGCTTGTTGAAAACACATCTAGTCTTTCCGAAAGATTGGAATATCAGTCGATGAGACAAAAAGAATTTGCACTTGGCCAGCAAGTCTTTACATGCGAGGCGAACCTTACGCCCTCTACAAAACCAGAAGACGACGTGAAATCTATTCTCAAGTCTATATTCACTACTGGGGATGGAAACTTTGATCCCATCATGGTTAAGACAGTACTAGGTCGTTTTGGTGATGAGGCAGTGCGGTCAGCCACAAATGCCGCATTACGTGACAAAGAGATTCAGTATCTTGCGTTTGATGATAGCCCAAAATTTGTGTTGGGCGAACAGTTCAAGAATGCGCTCGTGAATCGACAGTTCAACAGTAAGCTTTTCCATCAGGCGGCTTTGTTTAAAGAAACGCTAAATGATATTTCGGCAGTGGGAAAAGGTCTCATTTTGTCCCAGGGCATACAGCCTGGAGAGATCGCATGCTTACTTGAGCTTATTTCTGACGGGTTGGTTGACATGACACGTATTGATCGGACGTTTAAGTTCGAAAACTACGAGTCCAGGCTCGTGGACAAAGAACAGATTGGCTGTGATATTGTAGTCCAAGTGGATTACCAAAAGGCAAAATCGATACTGCCAATCACTGCCCGCGTCCCAATCAAAGCCGCTTGCCAGCCCGTTTGGGTCGATTTGAACGCCCACATCAACAAAGAGCTTTGGATTAAGACAATCATTTCACTCCTAGCCCACGTGGTGTTTCGACCAGGCATTACAGATTTCTTGGTTCATGAAAAGATGCAAGCAGTGTTGTCATACTCTGACTACTGCAGCGCCATGGGCTGGCTCGTCCAAAGTGGCTGCGTACAAAAATCCGATTCGGGCGGGTACCTGGCGACAAATTGCTGGTCTTACATTCTTGGACACTACAGAAAATGAAGGTAATCCTCAGATTTGTTGTTATACACCCACATTATGTACAGGACAATATATCCGAGGATGCTCATCTCAACTTTTTCCTTTTGCATTGCGAACTTAATTTTGCGATACGTGATAACGATGGGTTTGGCAGGAGTTAAAGTGAAGCAGAGGTTCGGACTAGATCCAAGAAACACATCATGGTCGAACAACACTGAAAGATTTGGACATCAATACCTCGAGAAAATGGGCTGGGCCCCTGGGAAAGGGTTGGGTCTTGTCGACCACGCCACAACCTCTCACGTGAAAGTGAGCATAAAGACAGACAACTCTGGGCTAGGTTCGAAGTTGGCCAAAAAGACAAAAAAAGACGAGTTTGATAGCGGTGAATGTGCTGGTCTTGATGTATTCCAGAGAATTCTCGGGAGACTCAATGGAAAGGAGGAGCAAGTCAGCAGTGAGTTAGACAGGAAGAGAACCGACAATATAGTGAATGGAAAGTGGGGCATGCACTTTATCAAGGGTGAGACCCTCAGCAGCACCTGGGATTCCGAAAGCAAAAAGCTTTTATTGTACTCATCAAAGAAAAGACTGTCGCCTGAAGATGACGAGCCCGCAGGAAGGAAGTCCAAGAAAAGCAAGAGTGCTTCTTTGAGGGATGAGAGAAAGGAAAAGAATGAGAAGAAGGAGAAGAAGGAGAAGAAGGAGAAGAAGGAGAAGAAGGAAAAGAAGGAAAAGAAGGAGAAGAAAGAGAAGAAGCAGAAGAAGGAAAAGAAGGGAAAGAAAGAGAAGAAGGACAAGAAGGAGAAAAAAAAGGACCTGAGATTAGAAGCGCAGCTGTCTGGTAATGAGCAAGCCACAGAAGTGACAAGAGAAAGCATGCTACAACCACGGGAAGGCAATGAGAAGCAGATCGCGACACGGTTGTCAGCTAGGGCCAAATGGATCCGGCAGAAGCGTGCCTCTGTGATGGATGCCAAGGCTCTTAATGAGATTTTTATGATCACAAACTAGAGTTGCCCTTCGGCCATTAATACACATTCATTGATGAAGCTTGCAAAGCCATGACGTACGATTACCTATTTACTGCTTCAAAAGAAAAACGCTCCGAAACCACCAACGATGCACGAGATCATGGCACCAATGGCCACCAACTCACTCTTAGTAGCTGGGAGAGCAGCGATCTTACCGTCAGAGGACTTTGTTGAAGTCGACGAAGAGCTGGAAGTGGAACGCAGAGAGCTGGAGCCCAGGGAACTAGAGCCGGACGCAGACGAGGTAGAGGAGGACGACGAGCCCGTGGCAACAGCGTTGGCAGAAACAGAAGAAACCGCAGCACTGCATGAGCTGGCAACAGAGGCAGAGGCAACGAGAGTGGCGGAACCATCAAAGTCACATGCACTCGAGTGGCTATCTTGGTCTTCGTAGTAGGCGTTGAGAACATACGACAACTTCTCCTTGTCGGAACAGAAAGACACAGACCCGTAGACTCCGGTGGTACCGTTGGCGGAGACAGCAGAACAGTCGATTTCACCGCACACGAAGCCGTACAAGTCGCTGTAGTCGTCAGTGTCGACGTCGTCAGCAACCACACACAGCAAGGAGCTGTACACACAATCACAAGTCTCCTTATCCGGCGTGGGGGGCAAGCTGGCAGAGGCCTTCCAGGTGGAGGCCGAGGTAGGGCAGGCCAAGGTCTGCGTGGATGCAGAGCCGATGTCACTGCTCAGGACCAAGTTGGGGCTGATGCTGTTCATTTCCTTCGAGTAGTAGGAGTAGTCGGCCAAGGTACTGACGGTGTCATCGCTGACACTGACGAGGCCGTACTCGTTCTCCTCCTCGAAGTACATGTACACGATACCTCCGGACCAGACGTCGGTCATCTCGTCGCTGAACAAGGTGGCAATCTCAGTGAACTTTCTGGGCCTCTCAAGGTTGCAGCCGTACTCGGAGAAGAAGACGGGGATAGTCAAGTTCAGGTACTCCTCGGTCCTGTCCTTGTAGCCGGACTCCTCGAAGGTGGAGTCGCCGCACCACTCGTACATATTGATACCAAAGAAGTCGGCGCGCTCGTCCAAGTCACCGCAGGAGAAGTAGTCGGCAATCGCCACACGCGTGTCCGCGTCGTCGTTGGACGAGTAGCCCACGGGGTAGGACCAGCCGTTGTCCTTCACGTAGGTCTTCATGTCTCTTACCGCGGCCTTGACGAACGCAGACGCGTCCGTGTTGGACTTGTTGTTGGTCACCTCATTGCCGGCGAAAAAGCCCAAGACGTTGGTGTAGTTGGCGAACATGTCAATGACAGACGTGTATCTGTCGTAGAGCTCCAAGTTCCATTCGGGCGAGTCTCTGTTGATGGAGGTGTCGGGCTCCGACAAGTCTGCAATGATGTAGATGCCTGCGTCGGCAAACGTGTTCATGCACTCGTCGTGGTCCTTGGTGGGGTCCACGGCATACACTCTCAACACATTGGTGTTGGACTTGGCGAAATACTCCACATCTCTCTTGCAGGCGTCGCCGTCAGCAAGCGGGTCTGTGTACGACGAGTCTCCCGAGGACGTGCTGTTCTCGGTGTTTTGCTGGTACGCAATACCACGGATCAAAAACTGCGACCCGTTGTTGGCGTAGAAAAACTTGTTTCCAACCACCTCAATGGCAGGCAAGTCGGCAGCCAAGGCAAGGGCCAAGGCGAAAAGCGCCGAAAGAAAAGTGATGGCTTGTCTCATTCCGGCCGGGTGTTTACTGGTTCCGAGAAGATACGAAAGTCGGTAACAGCAGAACGAAAGGAAAGAACCAGAAAAGAAGAAAGAGTGCCGCCGCAGGCCTGGGGGATCGGCGCGTATTTAAAGAGCCCGGCACGAGGGTTGTCGGCATGCCGAAGGCGACCTAAAAAAGACGCCGGAGGTTTTCCGATTGCACCCATTTCTGCATCTGGCCACGAGCCCTGCAGGTGCGCGCAGTGCAACCGCGCGATACGCGCCAATCAGCGCGGAAGCGTGCCATAAAAGGGCGCACGGGCGACGCACGGGCGGACGGCATGCAGAACGTATTTTGGGGGCGCGTCATGGGACTGTGTGGCGCGCCGCATGTGTGCACACCCCAATGCAGGGTGGGCTCAGCTGGGGCTTCGGCCCGGTGCGCGGTCTCGATTCCACGCTCGTGTAAACACACGCTTCGGGCCAATCCAGACCCAGCTCGAATTATTAGTTGACACTGGCAAAACTAAGGAGCAGCCGGCCAAAGTGGGGAGCCGCCAGCGTCATCACAAAACCGCGGATGCAGGCAAAGTCCAGCCAGGACAGCAGCGAGATATACGAAACAAGAACAAAGAGCACAAGAGACGGCGGCCAGAAGAAGGACAGAAGGGAACCTTCACACTTTCACATCACCCACACCTTCACATCACCGATCTCTGACATCACCAACATCTGAGCTCTCGGCTTCAGGGACCGCGGCCTGCAGCCTGCACATGGACGTGGCCTGTGCTCACCCGCACATTCCCCGTTGCGTAAGGAAACGCGAAAAAGAAACGAGCCCGCACGCGTGTGCTGTTTTTCCCGGATAGGAGATGTTTATGGGTGTTGGCTGGAAGTAGCATCTGGCACTTGAGCGCGAAACACGACTGTGCTGGGGGCCCGCTCATAAAAGGTGCTTTTTTTTGAGGCGCATGTTTTCTCGAAGCCGGGGGATCGGCAATTCGGCAATCAGGCTTGCCGGCGTAGGCTGGCTTTTGAGGGCTTTCGATGTTCCTAATGGGAAGTGGGGCTGAGCGGCCGGCACTCTGTGCAGGACACACGATCGCCCCATTTCGCACGCAGGCATGGAGCACCATGGAGGTGGGCGAGAATCAGATGTAGACCAAGGCTGTGCAATACCAACAAGTCTATGTGACACAACAGGACTTGTTTATGGTAAAACAATAGCAGTCGTACATGGCCCGATAGCAATCATACATGGCAGAACAGCAATCATAAACAGGAAGTCTGGGAACGTGGAGATGAGCAAATCCACAAATTGAGAGGTCGACAGGCAGTTCTGGAACCGGACAATTCCTGCGTTGATGTCGAAAAAGAACGTCTTCCCAGACCACAGGCCATTATTTTGAGTGGCTTTAGTGATTTTAATTTTATGAGCCGCGCATCTGCGGCCCGCCACTGATACCTTCCCGGGAAGTTGGCCTGTCGCCGTCACGTGATCTGGGCGATGCAGCTTTGTGGGGCAACCAGCAACACGTCTTGTGTCTGGAATCACCAGTCGCCAGACCCAAAAGCAATGTGGTTTATGCCATGGCCGGGTCACTGGGAAACAATCAAAAATGTGTCGTTGCAGATGGCCTTATCAGACAATTAGGTGATGGTGCAGTTATTACCCCGTATATGTGCAGTACACCAATTTTGACAATAGGTTTGACATTTGGGAACAAACCAACGCCAACTCCTGGGCGTTTCACCGTTCGGCCGAAAGAGTGCCAATCTGGCATATATTGCAGTGACAGCATCAATTCCCAAGGCTCATGTTCGTGCGGAGTCTTGGCGTCCGATGATGAGTTTGGAATAGCTGTGCCAAAGGTATGTAGGACGGGCGTGCATCGCCAAAGAACAAGCCCGACTCCTAGGCAGATTGAGGAACGTGGCCAATCTGAAAGTTCGCTGGATTTCGGGCCAAAACGGTGCGGGGTTTCTTGTTTTTCTCGTTTTCATCAGCACGTTCAACCTGGCTTCTGTAGATCCCCCCTCTGATGCATGCGCTTGGCGCATCAGGTTGGCATGATTCCAGTGTGTTCCGGACTTTTGGGGAAGTCTGGAAGGCTTTTGCTTAGCGTGAGGTGACGGAAGTGTAGTCCAGACAATGTGTTTTTATCTGAGCTCTGGACAAGCTCTGCCATCGTGGACAGAGGTTCTCATCGGTTCCGTGAATTGCAAGGCCAGTGGTCCGGACGTTTCCCAAAACGACGCTCACAGCTCCAGTTCAGCAAGTCACAAAACCATGAGTGTTTGATGTAGTATGAGCGGGCTGAAGCCCCGAACGATGTCTGCTGGACTCAGAGTGGGCGCATGGCGCAGTCCTCTGTATCTTCTCATATCCTCACTTCTGCGGCTTCCACATGCCTATCCAAGAACGAATTTTTGTTGGCAAACAGACACCGAGAAGCGGGCCGCGTACGACCCATCAGGCTGCCAAACCAACGCCCAGGACGAAAGAGGCGGCCGAACGGATCGGCCCGGAGGTCCCCATACAATTTGGCATGAGCCTCTGCAATGCGATAGTGCACCATCGAAATCGCCGCCAAGATGGAATTCCACGCTTTGCAGCGCTTGCTTTGGACTGCCGGAGAAACAACCCCGAGAATTCTCATGGTGGGCATCATCAATGCACGAGCACACCTTGGCCGTGCACAATTTCGCACCCACCCGGCGCTCGTTTGCATCCACCAACACAAACCCAGATACTCCGGCTCTGTGTTGAGACGCCCTGCTTTTGACGCCGCCTTTTCTTCTTTCCTCTGCCCGGATCACCCACACAAAAATCTTACGACATGGACGCCTCTGTTCTTCAAAAAGATTCCCGCGTGATTCGCCTCACGCTCTCCCATCTCCTCTTGCTTCTTCTCTGCATAGCTTCCTTAGCACTGGCTATCGAGAGTTCCGTGATAGAAAACGTCAGCTACAAAAACCTCAACCCGCGGCCATACGACAACTGCGAAGCCAACGACCTCATCAAGTTGCTGGCCTGCTGCAACGATGTATTGGCGAGCTTGGATGACTGCAAAGCGGGCGACTTGGCTTGCGAGTGCTGTGCACTCCAGAGCATGGACCTGACGTGCTACAACTTGTGCCCCGGAAACCCGTCCACGAATTTCTTGGCGGTGTTGTTTGACGACTGCTCGTCGCTCAATGACGTCAACGCATGCAACATTCCTTTCAAGCGGGTGGACGGCGACCGGCCGGCCAGCTTCCGCAACCGAAAGGCCACGGTAGACACGGTCCACCGGACGTCTTCATCGGTGATATCCCAGTTGACCTCGGAGGACGAAAAAGACGACGGCGCCGGCAAATCCGCGGCCGACCCGGACGTGGCCGAAGCGTTAGCTAACCAGAAGCCCAAGATCAACTGGATCAGCAACGGCACGTCCACTGAAGGTACGTATTTTGGAAGCGCCCCCTTACCACCTGCCCTGCCGGGCTGTAAAGCACAAGGTGCCCTCACCACCAAAGGTAACCTCCTCCTTCTTCCCCATACTAACGAGTCTAGGTGTGCCCATGAGATCGTCGAGTATGACGGCGCAGCTCGCGGTCACCGCCGCCATGCTTGGCGCCGCTGCGTACTTCGTGTTCTGAACATCTCTTATTTACACTATGAATCCACCATGCGTGCCCGTGCCATGCCCCCTAGCGCCCTGCTACCATAGCGCCGTACTGCCCTAGCCTAGTCCTTGTGTGTCTCGTAGATCCAGTCGAGAGTGTGCTGGATGCCGTCCTCAAGCGACACTGCCGGCTCGTAGCCCAACACTTGCTTGGCCTTGGTGATGTCGTGGTAACGCGTGGCACACGTGATCTTGACCCGGAACGGCGTCAACCCGGGTTCTTTGTTCAAGAGCTTCGACACAAACAGCGACAAGTACCCGGCGACAATCGCCACCGGGTAGTGCAACTTGATGTTGTGGCTGTCGATATGGCCGTCGGCCTTCCACACCGTGCGTGCCAACGTCCAGAAGTACGTGGGCGCGTCGTTGGTGATGAAAAACGTCTCGCCGCCCAACCGCGGCGCGTGCTGGGCGTCCAAGATCCGTTCGGCGGCAAGCACATGTGCGTCCGCAACGTTGCCCACGTACGTCCAGTCGAAAAGGTTGTCGTTGTCGCCGAGCTGGAACTTCAGCTGGCCAAGCCGTGCTGCTGTGCGCAAACCGGGCACCAACTGCCGGTCGCCCGGCCCAAAAATGCCCGCGGGCCTCAAGCATACCGTGAGAAGCTGGCCTGGCTCGTTTGCTGCCATCACAGCCTCCTCGGCCGCCGCCTTGGTCTCGTTGTATCCGTCCATATGCTTGGCGGGGTATGGCCACGACTCGTTGGCATTGAAGACGTCGGCGCCGTTGAAAATCACGCCTGCAGACGACGTGTACACAAGCGCCTGGACCGGCGAGTCCCGGGCCACCTTGAGGAGCGTTTTGGTGCCCACCACGTTGACTTTGTGGTAGATTTCCTGGGCCATACCGTGGATCGGGGACGCGGAATGGACCACCACCTCGCATTTGGACGCATTGATCGCCGCAAGCACGTCTTTTTCCAGGGTCAAGTCGCCCTGGTGAAAAGTGACCTTCAGGCGGTCGAACGTGAAGTATTTGGAGATTTCGGCGGGAATCGGGCGGATGTCAAAAACATGGATCTGCGTGTCGGGACAGTGCGTATAGAACTGCTGCACCAAATGGAGTCCGAGAAAGCCAGCGCCGCCAACAAGAAGCACAGACTTAAGAGGGGCCATTTTGTAAAAAAATGCTGGAAAAACCCGGGGTCTAAGGCAGAATCTAGAGAGTCTAAGGAAGAAAAAGAGTCGAAGCCACGGCGCGTATTCCAAGCTTAAGATCCCCGCGCGGTTCGTATGGAAACAGTGTCACGTGACGAGACGTGTCTTCTTTTGGCGATGAAGCGGCGGTTGCCTGGTTCCAGGAACGAGCGTGCCTAGGTCTGGGTTTTTGAGTAGAATTTGGAAACAGCATATGGGCTTTGGTCATGTGAACGTAAATAGTCATTGGCTCTGAGAACGTGGGAAAGGTGAGCTGTCAAATACCGCGACCCGTGCTTTTTGCCTAGTAAATTAAACAAGATATATACGTCTATCCAAACTTAAAGACAATATTAAAGCTACTCATTCCCTTCAAACAGCTCAATGTAATAAGTGCCCGCTAGGTACAAAATACCCCAGCTGCGGCGCTCAGTATCTACAGAATATAAACGATATAAGACCGAGTGCAACACTCAGAAATATAAACAAATATATTCCAAGGTGCTGCCTTATATCATGCCTTATACACATAAGGTCTCGTTGGCAATAGATGAAAAAAGGAAAACCAATTTGAATTTAAAAAAAAGACACTGATTCATCGGACACCTACCTCCGGTGCCGGGAAAACCAAAAGATGCTTCAAAATCATGTATTGTTTTTGTTTTCCCATAACTTTTGGTGAATGAAGTTGTTCCAGATATAGTAGACTAATCTGTGTTCCATGCGGTGCGAAAAGTATTACACATTCGCTCTCACCATTTTAGTCTGAGCCCCCGCCCACTTATTTACAATCAGCGCCCTAATGCACTTATTAAATTCGAGAACCAAAATAATATCAAACTTACCCTTTTTACATCGTGACTTAGGAATGCAATTGTCGTATGTTTAAATATTTTGTTTCTAAAAAAATGAACACTTCACAATCTCAACAAGGAGGAAACGATGACAGATCATAGTGACAAAAAGCTAATACCAATTTACAATCTTTTTGAGACAACTTTTGAGCTATATAAACACCTTGAATTGAAAATAGCAAAGAAGTGCAAGCAAACATTGAACACAAATGAAAATAAGGCATAAGGCTTATGGTTGTGCAAAACGTGAAGTATTTAAAACTTCACATAGCTGTGTATATATGTGCAAAATTATAGCTCAATACATTTTTGATTGCTACAGTTGAGGAATCCTTTGTGAAAAATATAGCAAGAAATAGAGCAATATAGATATCATACTTGGTCTAGCTTTTCGATGAGACGAATCATGTTATACTGTATAATATGTGACATTATCTTGTCTTGAAAAGTTATGAAAGTAAGCATGCAATATTTTGTTTGAAAATTATGTATGGGGACCAGTAACAAAAAGCATTGAAATATAGGTTTTACAAGCCAGCTCAATTAATCAGAGTATCCAGAACTTATATATGCTGTTTAGAATCCGGCTTGTGTATTCATGAGACGCTTTGATAGCTTGTCATATTTGCAAACTCTATGCCCAATGCTCTTCAAAAAGTTGTATGGACAAACTTTCCAAATTCCGGACCCTCAAGTAGCTGTATTCCAGGGATCCTAAAACGCAAGTCGTTGAAACAAAAACTCTCAGTCTTTTCTGAATGAGCTCAAAATGTGTTTTCTTACAACGTTTGTGTTCCTTGGCATAAGCTTTCTGAATGAATATTTTTTGTACAAGTTGAATTTGAAGCCTTGAGAAGGTAACATTCTTTCAAGACTTGCTACAATATAATTGAAGTTCCCTGAGATATTCATAAAGCCTTGCAACATACAAAGTATTTGACATTTCTTCCAATAACGTTCATTTCAAAACGCACTCCCCTCTAGTACTCAAAAATATTTTAACTCAAGTATACAAGTAAATTTGAAAGTATTGGCTAGTGGTGCTACTCCCACCCGCAGAGTAAAAGAATTTGAGGTACAGAAACCTTAGTATTTTATCGGAGAGGTTTATTTGATCAGCCCCCGTGCTTTTGAATTAGCCTCATGTTTCCTGGAAGCTTCATTCTCAGGGGGAACACGCAACCTCAGTAATCCATGCAGATTCAACAGTCTCAGACTAGGGCTTCGAAAGAATCAAGACTTGAAATATACTAGCGAAAAGATTTGAATAGGCTAAGAACTTTGCACATAATCCGATGCATGACCCATACCAACGCACAAACAAAGATCACAAAAGCTGAGCATATACCGCAAATTTTCCAGCCCAATACCAGACTAAACCCACAATAAAGTGCCAATGCTGATGCAAAGATTAGCGATTCAGTAATAAAAACCTTCCAGCAATCTGCTTCATCGTAAAGAGCATAGAATTCTGGGTGGCTAGTGCACGTGATGTATATTAAATACAGCGATTCGGCAATAAGCAGATTTACAGGAAGCAAGCCAAGCTCGAGATATAGTGCTATAGTGCGTGTATGTTTAAACAGTATCGGATCAACGTTAAGAGCATACAAAAAAGACGAAGATGCCAAAATTAAAAGCACAAGCTCAACAGTGGCAGGTGTCCAGTCAGAGCACCTTTCAATGCGTCCAGTTTCAATCTCAGTACAGGATATTGCTGCTTCATTTTTCTCGCACACAGATTGAAATCCTTTTTCCAAATCCATTTTTTGAAACAATATATTTTTCTGGTTTTGAAGTCCAAGCAGGCGGCTAATTTGGAAAGAAAAGAGAAGTATTTCTGATTGCACAAATGCGACGACACAGTCGCAGTTGCAAACCGCAGCCTGTTCTTGAAAAGACTTGAAAGAACTTAGGGTCATCGAAAGTAACATTAACTTTCGCACTGGTAATTAGAATAAAAATCTTTTCTAAGGCTCAAAAAAGGGAGGAGAATTACTTGATTAACGGAGTTAAAGTCTTCTTTTTTCGTGGAGGATTCAAAGTTCAGACGGCTCTAGTCTTCCAAAAGATGATGAAAATAATGTTGCAGACAAAAAGGCGAGGTTGTTTGAAGCCACATTCATGAAATTTCGCTAGTAGAAATAAAACATAGACATGTTAATGAAAGGCCGCAGTGAGCATGACTTTCTAATAAAAAGCTACTTTTTGATCGGACCTCCAGTAGTCTGATCTCGTGACCGCTCGAAAACGTGGCATTTGTTGTTGGACTTCATGGAAGTTGTGACAGCAATGAAGATACAGGATCCGATGGTAATCTGTATTGGACGTTCAAATCTCTCTCTAAACCCTGTTCTGAGGCTTCAGCTTCAGATCTACAGTTTAATTTTCAGAAGTGATTTCCTCAATGGCTACGCCTTTTCTTAATTGTTTCGACCCTAATTTTACCTCCAAATCCAGATGAGAAGCCACAATGCAAAACATACATGTGGTATCAGTTAAATATGATGTTTGAACAAATCCTGCCATAAAAGGAATTAGCCCGGTAAAAGAATTCTTGCGTTATGCAGCTTGTGGATTGTCGAGTCTTCAAAACCCAAGTTTCTCAGACAAGTTTACACATAAGCTGATATCAATGGCTAAGTCCAGACTTTGAACTTTCAAATATTTTTGTTTTGTAGGAGAAATTTTCTGAAGTTGACATTTCGATTCTGATTTTGGGACGTATAATAACTATGCTTCATTTAAGCACTCCAGTAATGTAAATTGGATATTTGCCAAAAGAAGTTCAAAGTAAGCTAAAAGAGTATAAAATCTAAAAAAATTCTGTCCAAAGGAAAGAAGCTCATTATTTCCTCGTAATTTTTAAACAGAAAGAAAGTATGAATTTGAGCACTGCGGAAACTGCCTGGTGGAGTACCACAAACGAGATTTCAATATTTTCTCTCCATCTACTTTTGCTCAATTTGAGACTCACTTCAGGAGAATCAAGCTAGAAAACGTGACAGTATGGACTTGGAAAAGCATATTCTCCATGAGAAACAAAATAGCGATCTACTCCAAGCTACGTGGCCTAAACCAGATTTTTATGTCGCAAATATTGGACGTCAATTGGCTGTTTTAATGTCAGCGCTTCCTTTCTGGGTTACTATAACTCTAGATAAGCTTGAATGTGTTTGCTTACTGGACGACTTGGTGCTTGGGCTTTCCTATTGTGGCTTGGCTCCAGTATATTTTACCATTATTCAAAATTTCGCTAACCGTCCCCAGACACTTTTTGATCTGTTAGACACGGAAAGTACTCTGGAACAGAGACTAATGAGAAAAATTGTAAGTAGCCCCGTTCTCCTTGGTGCATCTTTAATAGTATTTGGTGCATATTGTATGGTCATGAGTGTAGAGCTGTGTCTCATAATCTTCATTTACTACACGGTACTCACACTAACTTTGGGGGGTCTTTATATGGTGGTGAATTGGCTTTTAAGAGAATTCACAAGGTGTTTTCCTGTTAGCTGATTTTCCCTACCAGTAGTCATGTTTGTGCGCCTTGAATTGAAGTTTAGAAATGTTCCCAATCTGTACTGACTTGCTAAAATCAAGAATACATAGAACATAGAAGGGTTTTGATATAAAAGTTATGTGATAAAAAGATGTTGAAAGTTTTTCCAACCCAACCAGGAGCTTCTAGAGAATTTTGTTTCGTTGATAGGGTGTCTTCTTGATATTGTACGCCTGATTCTGTACTTTTGAATAGCAAAAACCTTGGGTTTAATTCTCTGGAGGTTTCATAACACAGAATAATATTTTTTCAAAAATATTCATCTGATTTAAATAAACAAAACTGTGCAATAGTACATGAGCAAACCCTCAAGCAGCTCAGAGATACGTAACAAGCCCCCCCCCCCCCCCTTGATGTCATAGAATCGGCTTGAAATTTTACTTTTGGGAGCTTTGATTAGCTTGATTCCAAAGAAAGCATTTCAAATCACTGAATCGTTTATCTGTTGCTGATTTTAAAGTCTTGAGTGAACTGTAAGCTTGAGGTGAAGAACCAATTTTTGCTTTATAGTATAGAAACTCCCAGTCATCTATGTTGATTAAGGAGTACTCGTTGAATTTTGTATCAATAAAATTCGACGTCTCCGAGATTAAAGCTTGTAAATTTTGAGAATTCATGACTCTAAAATTAGTTCTGTTCTTGATTGCGTGCATAAGTTCATCTGTTTGGCTTTGAATTTCATTGAGGTAAGTTGCAAAATAGTTGTAAACAACTTTGTACTCCTTTGGGTTTGAGACCAAATATTCTTTAGCATCTGTGTGAAAACATGGTATAGACAGATTATTGAAGCCTTGAAAGTCTTTGTGCTTTTTTTTCCGAAAACGAAGAAGGCCGCCTAAACAGCCCGTATTTTTTTGTTTCGAAGTTTTTAAGGTGTATAAGAAGACTGGAATATTAGACGGCGCACTGGGAAGGGCCATTTCGGCACTGGCCGCAAATGTCACAACTAAAAAGAGCAAAAACTGTACTCTCATAGATGGAAATATTTACAAAAACCAGAGTTAACAGAAGGATTTTATTAAATTCTTATAGTCTGTTTGGAAGAAAAATTCCTGAATTGCTCACGAAATAATGAGAAACTTGCTCAAAAAGGCTCATGGGCCTTAGTTCTTGGCTTCGAGTCAGGGCTCAAAAAAGACTGTGATATTTCTTAGACGATGGCATGATTTTTTTTGCTTGCATTCGTGAAGCACGGATTAGTGCAAGACAATAAATTCCAAAAAAAAGAGCTTTGCATACATCTATGTATCTTTAGATATCAAGGGTTACTGCATATAAATAAATCAAAAGGCGGTTTTTGCATTTACCGTGTAAAGCCAAGTATTTTGACACGATATTTTCTTCCTGATTCAAAATAAATAATTAGGCACATCTCAAAAAGAGAAATAGAACGTTTTTCGAGAGTGTATTTCTTCCCAAATGGTCCATCTATGTCTGTCTCACGAAATATCTAATATGTTCGAGACCAATTTGATTCATAAGTAGTTTGAATTATAAATTCTAAGCCCTACTCAAAGCCCAGCTCATGCTTACATCAGCTGAATGATTCAACTAAAAGTTTGTATTGTGACTCGAGCGTTGATCATCGACTCTTGATATGATTCGATGAGAAAGTTACAAACTATTTCGTGTATTTCAGTATATAATACTGGGGCTGCTAATGATAATTCCAGACACCTACAGAACAAGGTAAGCTCCGTATGAAATCATCAGGAAGAGTTCTTCACAATCCCTCACCACGTGACTTATCGTAGTATGTACTCCGATAAGTCCCCTCATTATCTGCGTATTATGTCAGACCCAAACAGACTGGAAAGTGCAGTTCGAGACTAACAAAGGTATTGAGCAAATTAAGAGGAACGGGATCAGCTCTAGAACCATGACTTTAAGCCGATCCCCAGCAAGACGCAACGTATTTGAACTTTTCGCAAGCTGGCTTCTGAGAGCGTGAGAAGGAATGTAAAACCTAAAATCCTCGGCATCATGATCCATTAAACAGGTGCTATAGCCAAATAAGACTAGCACCTTAATTTGGGAAGAAAATGAGAGAGGAGGTTTTGAGTTCTTCATTTTTGTGTGGTATACTTGAAGTCAGTCTTTTTTGGCCCGTAATGCTCTCTCATCACTTTCAAGTAGCTCAATGCGTAGTTGAATGTTGTATCAAGCCATTAATAATCCGTTTGCAACAAGTTATCGAAAAGCAGCAAACAAAGGATATTTACCAAAGAGGATTCGGCATGCAAAAAAGAAAAAGGGCTAAAAATCCTGCCGCATTTCATCAACTAGAGTCACACTCAAATCACATATACGGCTCTGGAGGGTCTAGAGTATTCAATTCTGTCCTCAAGGATTCTTTATTCCAAAGTATGCGGAATATTTCCGCCTGCTTGCATGAGCCCACTCAAAATTCGCTGCTCTGTTCAGTGTGTTGTTATCTTCTTCAGTCCAAAGGATGAATATAGGCTTGTCCTCAAGTTTCATATTCTCACGAGTCATGTACCATGTTTTTAAAGTCAGGTCTGGCTGTCGCATTGCCCGATATTTGTAAAATTCTATATATCACGAGAGAATACTGTTTATAAGCAACATATTCGAATCTTGTTGTACTGAAAAATGAATTAGATACTAGCTAATCGACTCCAAATATGAAATTGAACTTGATTGGCACTATTCGGGGGCCCCTAGAATTTGTACGCTGGGAACTAAGACTGATTTATTCTGGGACATCATCCCAGTTTGGCCAATCAGAGACAAAATCCTGAGAACTTTCTACACAGCAGTAGAGAAAAAATAAATGACCACAAAATCGCAGCAGCACACCACTGGGAAGCCAGAATTCAAATTATTGTCAAGATTGAGGAGACAAATTGGCGAGCGGCCCTGAGTGTTGCAGTTGAAAAAGAAAAAAAAAAACAGCTCACTAATTGTAGTCTATCAAGAAAACACTACAACCAGTATTTATATAAAGCAACAAAGGAAAAAGAGCAAACTATTAAATAAAAACCTCATCAAGCTGTAGAACACTTTTATAAGATGTTGAAGTCTATCCTGCATTGAAACTATAAGCCGGCCCAGAGCCTTGGCCAATGTTGTAGACAGTCCTAGTATGCGTATACCGGGCACATCTTGGTATAGCATCTGGGATGGTGAAAACATATGAACGAACAGTAATATGGTAAGGACCGCATCGGTGGGATTTAGCTTATGGTAACGTATGAATCGATTGAGATGTAGATCTATGAAGAGGAGTTTCCCTTAAAGAAGGAAGAAAGGAGACATGAAAAGTTTTTCATGTATTAAATAGCTGACCACTGCGAGAGTGGCTTCGCCTTAGAGTACGTGTCCCAACCACCATACTGGTATCTATCTCAACATAGGACTCTGCCATTATATGCAGTAGTAATTGGTCTGTGAATCTTGTTCACAAAGTTTCTGAATTAGTCAGAAAATCACTATTGAAGCAAACATTTTAGTGAAATTTTCTGCTTAGTGAGTAGCCAGAGTCCTAAATGTAAAGAGGTTATGTGAAGAGTGCTCAACGATGTATGCTAAAAAGCTTGTAGTCTTAAAAATGGGTTAAGTTTCAAATTTATAGTTTAAAAGTCACTAAAAAAAAAAAATTCTAGGCTACTTTATTTTGTGATACTCAAGGTTGATACGAAAAAAACAGACCTTAGACAACGAGGTAAGCCTCGTGAAATTATCATGAAGAGTTATCCACAATCCCTCATCATGTTATGCACCGCGTTAAATCCCCTCATTATTTACTGTCACGTGGTATCCGCCATGTAGGCATCCCTCACGTGGCAAGAGGAAAAAACTTCCGTACAGGGAAAGTTTTTTCCCTTTCCTTTCTTCCTTAAGGGTTTTTAGAGAATAGTAGTATCCTAAGGATCCGAAGTACCGTACATACTTGAATTGAGAAATCTGATACTGAAATTTACGCATTATGTGAGACTGTTTTTCACAGTTTAGCAAAACGTCTAGACCTGGGACTCGGAATACATTTGAATCTTCCTTGATCAGAAGACAGTATGTTCAGTTTCATTGAAAAACGCAAAAAGAATGGCTAAGGTTTCGGCAAAAAGAAATTTTCACAATTTATTGATCATGTTTTGAGTCCTTAGGTTGAGGTAGTTCAGTTTTCTCTACATAACTGTTAAATTTTACTGCTGTACATCATACTAGACAGAATCTGATGAAGTTTTTTTTTATTATGATTTGACACTACATAATAAGTTCTTTTCTATTAGGTATTGCCGTATATCTTCAGTATCTGTAAGTTTTAGAGGATATTAGCGATCATATAAATAGTAAGAAATATATGATGTTTGTTAAAGGACATGTCAATGTATATTTGACAAATTTAAATCTTGTACAAGGCAAGGTTATTATTTAATTGTTTTTTTGTATTTGTTGCGAGAGATAAGCCAATACATAAAATGACTCAAGCCCCTTGGAAACAACCAAAACTAAGGTATTGTGATCTTGATGTGTTTGAGAATTTGACAGCCACTGTTATAGCGGATGATGTAATCCGTGCATAATTCAAAAACTGGGTCGTCGTTGTATCTGAAGTAGCCATTTTCAAATGGAACAGACTCACCAAAGCCCATACAAAGTTGCTGTTCAGTATCAAGCCCCAAGTAACCATGGTTATCCTTCATGACTCCATCTTTAAACACATACAAGAACTCCAGATCACTTAAGTTGGCGAGACCATCGGTATCTATAAATATGTATTTGGGTGGAGAAACGCCTTCCACGTCTTGGACGATCATTGGGATCTCCCTCCATTGCTGAGTAGCAGCAAGGGTCAAAGTAAGAAGTGAGAATATTGCGAAGCGTCTCATCTTTTATTTGCTTGTAGTCTATATTTCTATAGAACTAAACTTTTCTGTGACAGAAATGCGGGTTTTTTATAACGATAAAGAAAGGTTTGAGCTTACAAAGACTTGTATATAAATCACGCTTTTTGAGGATGATAACCGAGAAAGCAACTACCGACCGTTTAAATTACTCGAGCTTCGAAACCTCTTTGCTTCCGGGTATTCTGACCTATTCGGCAGGTATGTTTTACCGATATGTGGCACAAGATTGACTCGTCTAAAGATCAAACTCGATGAAGGCATGAGCAAGAAGTATTATACCCCCCACTTTCAAATGTGAGTTCCACATAAGCAACGGTGAAGCTACATATGCGTGGACAGCTTTTGTGTTATTACTCGAGTATAACTCGATAATAAAAGAGTCTATTAAGTTAAAAACATGCGTTGATTGTAGAACCTATCTACAAAATGCCTGGTTTTAGTTTATGTTGAGGTTTGTAGTAGCCCTAGAGGAATATCCTGTCCACGTTCCTGCATCCTGTACCAAGCCATCTCTATTGTGCAGCTAATTTGAAGAAAAAGTTCTATCCTTTTCTTCCAGTTTTTCCCCTTTGTGGGTTGTTCCTACCTAGACTAGTATATATACCTTTAATCGTTCCTAAATAACTTGAATGGGTCTACTACTGAAGAGGACTCTTCTGAGTCCCTCTTCAGGACCAGGACTCCTATGCTTTTCATAATGATATAGAAGTCAGGTCTGATACTATCCTTTCTCCAGCAGACCTCACAACTAGTTATGTCCTTACTTCCAAACCTTCTAAAAGGTTAAGTCCATATACACACAGAAGGACCGTCTACGACATTGTCACTGGTACACATACTGCGTACAGTTCGAACGCTCGCCCAGAGCCAAGTAGACTTCAACATTAACGCTGAAGGTTCCAGTATGTGCAGGCTTGCTTATTCTTTCTCGTCAGGTATCGTATCGAGCTATTCATGAAATATTCTTTTACTTTTGACGAGATCAGATATATGCGACGGGTTTAGTCTTTGGTATTAGAGAAATCAATAATAAATAGGAGCAAAACGACGTGTATGTAACGTTAACTACCTTTAAAGACAGTTAAATTGTCTCTTAAAGAATATTATAACTAAAGTGTTCGTCTAGGACACGATTGTGTCTTGACAGATGATCATTGAATTTTTTTCCCTTTAGTTGGATCCTGTATAAGCTTAGAATGGTTGCATAGCCTCGTTTACTCAATATTCTCCAATTTTTAAACGCCAGAGTCTGAGACTCAGCAAAAACTGCTGACTGGCAGGCTCTGTAAAAAGAGTACCCTGAGCTTAAGTGCCTTCAAATCGGTGAAGTAGAAAATAGTGTAGTCACAGGCACTCTTGAATTTGGCATAGGAGCTGCACGCTACGGATCCATTGATTTCAATTATGATTTCGTATAATCAATATTTATTCAAGTATATTTAGTATTTAGGATTCCGGTTACTACTATGTTCCAGACTTCCTAGAGAAGGAGAAGAAAATCGGACCGTATCTTCCGAGAGGGAAAGCCGACCAATGGTGACTCCTCGCCAGTATAGCTACCGCCCTAAAGCCCGATGATATTGTGTCAGCAGTATTTAGATTTAGGGACATAAAACGAGTATGTCTGAGAGTGCCTGGTGGTGCGACAAAATATCTTGACAAACTATTTCTTGAATTATTTGAAATGAAAAAAAAAAAGGATATCCCAACCAAATTCACCACTTTAGAATCATATTTAAATACTTATTAGTCGGAAGATTTCAAGATGGCAATGGGATACCATTTACGTTACTGTATATTACTTAAAGAAACAAATCGTTCAGACATAAGAGAGCGAGCTTCGATCAAACCCTAAATATTTCAGATCTGCTAGTTTCTGATTGAAAAATTTTTCGCAGTTGCTTTGCATGCAAGAAAATATCATTTCATTTTGAAGTTTTAAGCAAGTAGTCTGCAGTTCTGTTCGGTTTCAAATCACTCATTCTATGCTAAATATTTAATTTCCGCCGATAGAAGAGCAACAGTTCTAAAAATATTTTTCTTAAAACAAATTGTGTATGTTAAGCCAAAAAAACAATAAGCCATTGCTGCATAGTGAGATGTGCTATACACTTGACATCGTTGAAATACTGCAATCTCCATTTCCACTAGTCCTATTATGCAAGCTTTTGTTTTTTTGCAGCGAAGTGGACTCAATGAGTGGCCTTAGTATGTTGGTCAATTCTTCAAGAATGTATGTCAATTTTTGAAGAGCCTGTGATTTTCGATACTTTTTTCACGATTATTTCCCGATTTAGCTGTAGCACATAATCTAGGACTGGATACAAGAATTCTCAAAGCCTGTATATTTATGCATTTAGGTATGGGTTACGTGGCGCATACGTGTTGTGCTGTGAAAGACCGCACTGCCTCCTATCTACATACCAAATGTACATGGTAGTTTGACATTAGGAAAGTTGTGCTTACTTCCTATGTTGAAATTTTTTTACTTCAAGCTTGAAACCAAAAAAAGAATTTCATGATCATGTAAGCCTCACGCCATTTTTTGTAATTGTACGACGGCAGTAAAGGACCAGTTATCATTGACTCATTCTTGGTTTCAACTATTTCTCTTGGTCAGAAGTCACAAATTTATCAGCAAGATCTGGCTCTCCTCAACTGCTATCAGCCTCAGATGTTATGAGTCATTCTTTTTTCAATTCAACGGGAATATATATCTTTATACCTTCAGTGTATGCTATTCAAGATCACCAAAACCCCACAAAGCACTTTAAGAAAATTATGTTCCTGTTCATGATAAGCGTCAGTAAGCCTAAACTCGTCACTTGTACTTAGCATTCTACGTAAGTAATACGCTTGCAGCATTCTTGTATATGATATTACCAGTTACACTCTGGAGATCTACAACCTATATATCGCGGCTTGTGTGTCATCGTGATTCTCAAATCCAAAGCAAATTGTAAGTGTTAGCAATTCTTTGTCCGACAGAGTATGTAGGATTACTTAGTATACGCATGCCTTGACGGTATAGAATATAACACGAGCTCTAGTCATCCAATCCCATTGCACGAATACGGCAGATTTACTTCAGCCGACACTCAATTTTATTTCTCTTGTTTTGGAGAAATCTGAAGAGGAATTCACCTGGTAATACATTCTGCTATATAAGACTATATGTAGATCAACTCAAAATCAGGTTTAGGTTTCATCAGTAATTCACAACTTCAAGTCTTACTGGTTTTGCACCAAGGCATTGACTATTATAGCCGATTGATCCGTCATCACAAAGCTCAAACACGGGGTCATTTCTGTATTGCAAAAGATTCCCAGTAACTTGAATGTTTTTGATTTCACCCATTGTAAGCTTTCCCATTGAATTAATTTCAAAAGCCGAATTTTTATAGTTTTTAATCATTCCATCTTCGAATGAAAACAACATTGTCATTTCAGTGATGGTAGCTGCTCCAAGAGAGTTCAAGCCTACATGACCCATAGATTGGCCATTTAAATCTTGAACATTAACAGCAACTTCTGTATTAGTGGAAGAAACAAAAAAGGGTAAAGCAAGTAAGAAAAATGTCGCAAATGTCCTCATTCTGATATAGAAGCTATAATTTATATCAGGAGTTGTAATTTGTGGGAAAGAAACCTGTTTATATAGTGCCATGTATCAGTAGCCCTTTTTCATGAATAGCAATACTTGTTTTTTCATTAAGGCCAAACATCACGCCATACAGAAAACGTACCTAGACATATTGAACTGCATGACACTACGATCTATTCTTACCCAGAACATATTTTTTTGTTGTTTTTCGTGTAATTTCTTATTTGTGTTGCTTCATGCAGGCATATGCAAGGCGAAATTTGGCTTTTGAGAAATAAAATTGTATTCATCACAATGAGAAAATATGCGTCTTCACTTTTTTTATTTGGAGCTAAGGCAGACAGTGAGAGATCTTAGACGGCCTCACCGTCACATGAATTGTTCAAACCCCCCGTAGTCTTTATAATTCGACGTCAGACTATACTTCACTCACTGATTTCACATTAAGTGTTTGATAAAGAACATATTGTTGAAGGTTTTGAACAGAAATGAATGAGAGAGATAAAAATGCTGACACAAAAATGAAATATTTGTGATAAATACTTGGTCAGAGCATTGGCACAATAAACGTTCAAGATTTTAGGAAAACATGACCGCGGTGTGCCATATCAGGATCGAGCCATTTTTATGTCACCTTACCTCTTTGAGACATCATCTTTAGATCTACATTCTTATCGATCCTAATGTTACCAATAACCTAAATGGCCCTGGTGTCGTCCTTGTCATCTAGCTACTTGATGATATTAATTCGCAATTTTGAAATGCTATCCCAGAATATTCTAGTATACTCACACTACTTCAAAATAGTGATCGAAGCTTCAGAGAGGCCTCTTGTTTGTTAAGGATACGCAAAAGCCCTAAGGAGACACCTTGTTTGAATTAAATTATGTGCCAAGCCAACTCAGTAGTGCAAATTCTCCAAAGGATGAGGCGATTGTTTCCCATATAATTTTTCTTTGCAAGAAATCTCGTATCTTACTATGTACATCTTATTCAATTCCCAGGTTGTCTTGACTGGATAAACTACTGCAGAGAGGGTGGTCTGAACCACCCTTCATGCCCAATGTTCATATTTTTTTTACAGCGGGCTCTCCTACGAGTTCTGTCATTTTCTCCACTTCTACTGGATACACGAAGCACATCAGTCAGAATCGTAGACGAACTGTCTACGGTATCGTCACTGATGCGTGTACTGCATATCAAATCAGTTCTCGCTGTTGAGATAGATGACCCCACCAGTATGGTGGTTGGGACACGTACTCTAAGGCGAAGCCACTCTCGCAGTGGTCAGCTATATAAGACATGAAAAACTTTTCATGCCTCCTTTATTCCTTCTTTAAGGGAAACTCCTCTTCATAGATCTCCATCTTAATTGATTCTTACGTTACCATAAGCTAAGTCCCACCGATGTGGTCCTTACCATAGTACTGTTCGTTCACATGTTTTCACCACCCTAGACGCTGGTATATGCATACTGGGACTGTCTACAACATATAATGTCAATGCAGGATATACTTCAACACTCGCTTCATGCAGAATAGACCACATCAGCTTTTCTCATACAATATAAGGCATACATATGTACAGCAATGAGCATTAACATCTGGGAATGTTGAATTATAATTAGTTTCTACATTCTGTCATTCATTCACATTATGATAAAGCATACATATGTGGAATGATGAGAATTAACATCTGAGTATGTTAGATTATTATCATTTTCTTAGGCAATACTCATGTATAATAACCATAAAATGCCTACTGATTAATTTATCGAAATGAAGGGGTATACGGGGAATATCACAGGCATAGATTTAGGTCTACTCTTTTTTTTTTTCCAAAAATAAGAAAAGAAAGGGAATAATGGAAGAGGAGCAAAGCACTGATCAGCTTTGAGTAGACCTCGTGTTTCATTCAAAAAGTACAAAAGAAGATAATTATCGGCTCAAGGTAGAAGCTCGATAGACGCTGATAATTAGTCATCTAGCAATTTTGTCAAAGACAGTAAAGCTTTTTGTAAGTCACGTACTCCGAATTTCCAAGAAATTAGTGACTTATGGGTTTCTTTACCTTTCCTAAGAAATAACCTCATATATATTTTAAAATTTTCTCATTTGTTTGTGGTATCCAAAATATAATCATGTCTTTCATTAGAATTATACACCAGAGAGGTTGCCTTCAAAATGGGAACAGTTTTTCGAACTCCTTAACTTTTTCTTGGTTTAGCAGAGAAACTAAGGTAGGCACTTTTCCAAACTCATAAGTTTCTGAAGTACGTTCATTATCATCTTTCACTAACGGGTGGTTGTGAGATACTGTAGAAGAGGATTTAGATCCGAAATTTATGGTCGGGTTTGGATTGCAAGCAAACTCAAAATCACTGTTGTCAACAACCGATCCGGAACTGAATGCTAAACTTTGTGCTTCTTCTTTCGAAGATTGATCTTTAGATTGAATTTCGTTTGTATTGCCGCCGGGTTTAGCTCCGAAAGCAAATGCAGGTTTACTCTTGGCCGCGTCGCTTGATGCGTTCCCGAAAATGCCAAAAGCGTGGCACGTAGTTGGCGGGTTAAACCCGAATGTAGACTTGACGTCTGTCAGTTTTGAGCCAAAACTGAAGCTTGGTGGTTCCATGTGTGTCACTTTAGCTGATGGATCAACATCAAGCTTTAATGCAGGGTTGGTGGGAAAAGCGTTGGCTTCAAGACTAGATAGTTTTTTGTCTTGATTTGTCTCTAATTCTAAGGGCTTGGTGTCAAACGAAGTTCCTGTTGTTTGAGCTTTAGTGCCAATAGCAAGCTCTTGTTTGGAATGATCAATTACAGGCATATCGTTTGTATTTTTATTGCCAAGACTGAAAGCACCTTCAGTAGCTTTCGACACAAATGAGGGCCTGGAATCTCCATTGTGTTGCTTTTCTTTTGAAACCTGAGTATCACCACTGAGAGCAGGGTTTTGACCGACAGGGTTGTCATTTGATGCTTCTATATCGACTTTGACCTGCGTCCTGGGTTCAGCAACTGATTGGTCGGAAACATTTTTCTCACTAGCGGAGTTGGCTCCAAAACTAAAAGTGGGTGTGTATTTCGTATGGTTGGCACCGAAACTGAAAGAAGGTTGAGTAGATTCCGATTTTTTTTCTGCAAGTTTAGTCGAAAAACTAAATGTAGACGTCGGCTTCTCGGTTTTTTGAATTCCAAAGCCAAACTCAGGTCTCTGTTCTTTCAGCTTTTCTTCTCTAATCATAGCTCCAGATTGGGAATTAGGATCGATGTGAGGTGTCACTTGGCCAAAACCATAATCGGACTTCTCCGAAGCGAGATCTTTCAGGTTCAACTTTTTGTGAGAATTGAACTCCCCAAAAGTAAAAGCGGGCTTGATCGACGCTGACTCGTGTGGAAGCTTTTCGGCTCCAAACTTGAATGTTGGCATATTTGAGCTAGACTTAGAGTCTAAGCTAGACGAAGGAAAATTGTGTGGAGATTTTGATTCAAAGTTCAATGCCAGCACAGGATCATCAGAAATAGGCTTAGAGCGAAAATTAAAGCTGGCACTTTCACCTGACGACTTTGATTTGTCAGGTTCAGTGCTAAGTGACAATGGCGATGCGAATTTGTCTTCAGATTGCTTCACGCCAAAGTCAAACGCGGACTTTGCGCTTTCACCAATTGCGGTTTTGGCTTCAAGATTGAAGGCTGGGACTTGGCTTTTGGATACAGGCTCTGATGCTTTAGAACCAAAGCTGAAAGCAGGAGTTCCCGTCTGATGTGACGAATTGATGCCAAAGTTGAATGCAGGAGTATTTGGCGCTGAAGTCTCGCTAACAGTGGTTTTCGTGTTGAATGACATTGCAGGATTCGCACCAAACGAGGAAATTCCCTCTGCCGGTTTGGAACTGAAAGCAAAGAGGTTTGGTTTGGTAGACTTGTTATTTCCCTCGTCAGCGTGGGATTTATTCGCATCAGCTTGGCCAATTCTGGAGTGATCCATTATGGTAGTGTTCTTGTCATCAGCCGTTTTTGTCCCGAAATGGAAGGCAGGTTTGGGGGGTTCGCCGGTTTGAGTCTGGTTGGAAGAGGTTGAATCAGTGTTTGGTTTTGATCCAAAAGTGAACATTGATGCATTGTTGCCACCTTCCTGTCCGAAGCCGAAAAGAGGCTTCGTGGTCTTACTGGATGGATCTACAGTAGATTCACCGGCCTTGGACTTGGCACCAAAAAGAACTCCACCTGATGATGAAGCAGGCTTCACATCTCCAAAACCAAAACTTAGTGTGGGCTTTTGGGCACTCACTTCAGCTGTTGAGGATGAGGTCGGCAAAGTCTTGGATGTGACGTCCGTGTTGGCAGAAGTCAAAGGCTTTGAACCAAAAGAGAATGCAGGAGTGGTGGGGCTCGGCTTTGTGTTGGGTTTCTCGGCAGACACGGCTTCCAGGTCTTTCGCAGGACTCTCTATCGTGTCATTTGGCTTACCTTCGAGAGCCGCGGACTGCTTGCTTCCAAAAAGAGAGACTGGAGCTGCGTTGGGGGACTCGACGGGATTGCGCGAGTCAATAGATGAGCCGGAGGCCAGAGGTGAGCAGTCCAGCTTTCCAGCAGGCTGGGGCTTTGTGGACTGGGCGTCCGTGGCGGCCGATGCGGGCTTTTCCGGCGCACCGGGCGACAGCGTGCCGAAAAGCGAGGAGCCAGGTTCGGGATCTTCTTTGGCGGCCAAGTCCTTAGCCTTGTTGTACGCCACGGTTCTTGAGATCTCGTCGGCCTTCGTTGGAGAAGGCGCCTTTGCGAAAATGTCCTCCTTTTGCAACGGCGTGAACCGTTTGGCCTTGGCATACGGGTTGTGGAGAGACTTGCCACCAGCATTCTTGGCCGATGCAGAGGCGTCTGCGTGCGGCGCCCCCGAAGCGCCATCCAAGATCAGCAAGAGGGAATTGGCAGTGTTGCTTTTCGGCTTGAACGAGCGCGAGTCCATGGACGCATCCGCCGCGGACTCCAACAGCGCCATCAGCGGGGCTGCGGACGCAACACGGCGCGCCTTGCGGGCAGCAAGGTTCGGCACCTGAATCCGCGTGCGGTAGGGCGACGGAACGGCCGAAAGGGGGTACACACGCTTCATGGAAATGCTGCCGCGCGACACGTCATGGAATGTGTGGTACGCAGGCTTGTAGTCCGCGGCCGCGAGCGACACGCTGGTGGCGTTGCTGGCGTCGTAGCCGCTGGTGTTGCGCAATACTTTTTGCGAGTACTGCGCAAACGTGTTGTTTGCGTTTGTGGCGGCTTTAGCCGCCGCCGGATCGCCGCTTTTGCGCTCGGGCGTCAGCTCGGGGAGGGGGAGCGTGACCGACGCCTTGGAGCGGTCCAAGAGCGCCATCACGCCCTCGTACTCCACCTCGGAAAGCGGCTGCGAGCCCTTTTCCTGGAAAAACGACAGCAAGATGCGGTTGCGGTCCGCGGAGACGGGCAAAAACGCGGAGGTTTCGGCGGCCGCCGGCGTGCCTGGCGGCAGGGGCCCGGGCTGCTGTTTTAGCGGCGTTTCAGCCTCGTTTGCGCCCGTTCTGAGCGACGCAATCCGCGCCGGGAGCCCGCTTGTTGATAAGTAGCGCTTCACTTTGGAGAAAATGCCGCCGGCCGCGGCGGGGGGCAATTTGCGCACGCGCTGCGACCGGTCTCTGTACACCTTGGCGACTCTGCGGTTATCCATGGCAGCAACTGGGGGAGAATGGGGTGTGTTGTGGGTTTGGAAAGAAAGAGAGTTGGTGCTGGGGGTTTGAGTTGTAGGAGAAAATCGCATCGTGGGTCACGTGCGCCGCGCACGTGACGCGCGGCCGGCGCGGCGGCGGCGTGTTTCAGTATCAGCATTCTTAAACAAGATGTACAGTAATTAGGATTGTTAGAATACTACTATGCTCTAAAAACCGCTAAGGAGACAAGGTCGGAAATGACGCTACTCTTCGGGAAAAGGGTTTTCTCTTGCTACGCGAGAGGCGACGACGTGGTGCACATCACGTGACAGCGTGCGGCTGGGCAGTGGATGGGTGCGACCGATCGGTGCTGGTTGTTAGTGTGGGAAAACACAGGCGATAGATCCGAATGGCGGAAATGATGGCATGCAGAAGAAGACGCCGAAAGAGGAATTTTTTTTTTGGGGAATAAGGGGGAAAGCCCCCTCTTTGTTTGAATGTGCGAAAACAGAGCTTGTTTTAGGTACTCGCTGTACCTGATGGGTATTCTGGTGGGAATATGATGTGTTGGATTTGACTGTGTGGAAGATGACTTTTTGGAGTACGGCTGCCTGGATTTTGAATGAGTGCCCCATGAATACTTAATATGTCCTCTCTTCATAAGCTCACTGGTATTGTCCGACAATGCTGCTCTCAAAAACCACCACATTTTTATATGTACTGACTATTACTTCTAGCACTATGCTGGGAAGGATAACCAGATTCAGCAGGGCGAGGGAATTTGTCCTTCCCCAATTCTACCTCTGATATGCGGGGAAAGTTGTCTGAGCGCACTGAAAATGGGAAACGAAAGCTGGGATGAAAAACCCAGCTTTCCCGGATTCTTTTTTCCGGGCTTTCCTCAATCCAACATGAGCAATATGGTGCGCAGTACTATATCTGTCTAAGGTCAGCTCATTTTTCTCTCATCGTCATTCTCTCTTGTACGCTCTGTTCAATTAAACGCCAGCCTCCTCATAGTCGATCCCCTACTGAGCACGTTTCCGCCAATTTGTTTCTCATACGACAAAAAGATGCTCTTGTGACTGTTAGCCTTTTGATAAATAATACTGATCCAACCGAGAACGTTATGGCTAAACGCGGGCAAGGCAAGAATAAATTTTCCTTTTACGCTGAAAACGTGATCTTTACCCTCAAAGATAGACTCCTCTTACCAAATACCAACCGTTTGGCCCAAAATCATACATGCGAGCATAACTCTCAAATCAGGGTTCACTAAGGACCTTGGCCCTAATCTCGACGAACCCTAGATCTGTGTCAAGCGGCAGTTATAGGTGGTGCCTTCCAGCCGACCGATACTCTAAAGCAGTTCACTCAGCACTAAAAGTAAATGGTCAGAAGATTTAGAATTTATATTTCAATTTTGTCTTTTTCCTTGTTGTGCCGATATTATGGTGACATGAAGTCCTAACCAGAAATTTTGTACCCATTCTCATCGTGTCGCAGTGGTTCGAGCGCGGAAATTCCAAAGCTTCCGCAACATTTGACCCGAGGGAACACGCAAGTATTTTGATGGAGAAAAATCTCCCCCTTCAAATACGGTGGTTTTTTCTCTCGCTAACAACATTTCTTCTAGGGCCGAGGCAATTAATATCTTGTAATACCTCGAAATGACGGCCCGAAAGACGTGTCCGAAAATATAAATGCAGCATGGCCAGAGTGAGGTGCGATACCAGAACATGATATTGCCCACAGGAATCATGGCAGTCAAAAGGTCAGAAACAAAAGGGTACGTAACTAAACAGAAACAAAAGAAATAAAGGAAGGTTCTGCACAAGGCTGTTCCTGATACGAGAGACTCATTCGGTTGTATACATTGTCAATCTTCAGTCAGGTATATGCTTCGGGGATTTATTTCACATTTTATTAAGCAGACCTAATTCAGCCAGGGGGCAGCTGAAGAACAAATGGTCAAGTATTCCACAAAAAAGATAATATCAACTATGTGTATTCCATCTTCCACCCTTCTCGGTACTTCAAAGAGGAAGAGCAGCTCTTTGTCTGGAATCTTAAATGTCTACTTTTAAACTGTATTGATTTCTTGTCTTTTTAGAAGCAATTCCTTTGGCGACAATATTTCAGCTCAGGAAAGTCTTGTTTTGGCAGCGGTCTTTCAGATCTTTATCAGATCTAGCTGAAAGACAAGATTCAGCTTATTTTATCTACGCACTCTTGCGATCACGCATCATCAATAGTAAAATTCTTTCCATGTGCAAGCAAAGGCAGAGAACAAATCACAGCTTGGTAACAAGTTATACCTGTAGGGTCACATCGCAGCCCAGCACTCGAACTGGCATATATTTGTCATAAATATCTGGCATCTAATAGGACACAGAGAACAGCTTCAGTCGCAAAAAAAAGAGGAAACAGCAAGATCATAAGCCTTGAGCTTGAAGCAAGATGTCTAAAAGTATTGCGAGCTGCTCCGTCATTCGCTATTCCTGCCTCATCTTGCTCTAAACATATGTGCTGCTGGCACAAAATTGCTTTTATTTGCATATCTCTTCTAAATTTTGTATCAATTCATTACTCAATTAAACCGTATCCACATACTCGTGATAAGGCCCGAAAGAATTTGAGCACCGGGCCGAGCGATGATGAACTCCGCGGTGATACAGGCCGTATTTACGTACAGAGCATTTAACCACATATCATAACGCCATCCAATATTTTTCAAAAAGTCATATCGAGTCAGAATCATGTTTGATCAGACACACGTGAACTTGAAGGGAGCTTAGTAATAAGCTCGGGACATACACAAAAAATCACCATGGAATATTAATCTTATTCAGCAGGAGGCCTGTGTTGTAATGAGCTGATGCCGCACCGGTATACATGGCCCTACGCGTCCTATCATTTTTTCGCGTGCGGCCCTAAACGGGTTCACAGAATACGCTCTAGGATCTGTCTAAAGAGCCAGAAACATCACGAAGTCTGGACAACCCGTGGTAATAATCGCGTCTCCCCAACCTCTGGAATTGAAAAGGCTAATTTAAGAAGGACTCAAAGCACCTCTCTTCTTTCCGCTTCTCCTGTGTCTTCTTCTTAGTCCGTATTTAGCATTTTCGCCCTGGCTCCACCAATAACCCGCAAGAAAGGCTTTTCATGCTGATTTCCAATGGACATCGTCGCCGACTCCGATACAGAGAACTCGCTCCCGCCGGTCCTGGTCTCGGATGTCAACACTGCCACTTTTCGCAGCGTGTTTGCGTTTTTTTCCGACGAAACACGCTCCAGAATCCGTGCCGAGGCCCAGAACACGCCTCTAGCCGCCCTCTATGAGGACATGGATGCGGATTTTCTCCATGCCGAACGCCTGGAGCTCGAGAATTTGCTCGAATCTACCAGGACCAGCGAAAACCGGCCTGAAAATGGGCCCATGGAACCCCTGGCACATGGGGTAGAACAGCCACAAGAAACAAACAGCAGTGGCTCGGGGCTGCCCGCACCAGACCAGGCTTTCCGCCGGGCCAGATCCTTGCGTAAACGAACATTTGCTAGCAGGCACCCCTACATTGCCGATCAGGCCGATTGGCTCGGGATCTGCACCGTTGATAGTATCAATGAAATGTTCGATGGCGACGAGGACGTTTCGCGGGTAGCTCGTGCCCTCAACCAGCTCTATCTCCAAAAGAAAAAACGGTACCCGGACGAAGACCGCTACCGCCTGAAGGATTTCTATGCACATTTGGGCCACAGTAAAACTCTAGCCCTAGAAGGAGACCCTGATGCCTCTGAACGGAAAGACAAAACAAAGCAAGAGACCGCCAATTCTGATTCTCAAGAACAGGACTATAACCCCGACATACACAGCTCGCAAATCGAGACACACAGCGCCGACGATGATGACCAGCTCATCCCATATGAGGATTTCGACATCCCATATACCCAGGAACATACCGATAATAGATCTCTCTCGGCAGGTCCTGTCATTGACTCTTCTAGCATAGAAATTGCGCCTTCTGAACCTAATGGGCCTAGTACAAACCATACCGATGAAAGTTCAACTGACTACGAAAGCGACGACCAGCCCGACCAGTACATCAAAGTGGGTGGTCGGTATAGAAAAGTGAGCACTATCCTCCGAGGCGTACTCCCTGAGTCTGCCAAGCGGCTAGGATTGTTTGACCGCAAATCGCCGGTTAAACGCAGAAGACCAGCCGTGCGCCCGCTCACACCGCGTCGGGGCTTGGCAATCAAAAAGCTGCGATCCACCGGAACCAACTCCGCAGATTTGGAACGAGAATTGTACTCCAATATGGTCGATTTCGAAGAAGAGGATCATTCGAGAAGCTTTGTTCAGTCTGTACTTGAGACATCGCCATCCTCCGAGTCTAAGAACCAAGTTCGCTATGGCCGAATTGCACAGAAGCAGTCTGTTCCACATCTATCGCGAGACTCGACCTCTATGTCTTATGATCTGGAAACACAGGAGCCGCAGTATATCTCGTCCGGTTCAGATTCAGAAACAGAAGCTTTCTTCATCCAACATCCATTTCCCCAAGATTTGCACTCGCCAAAACAGGGTGGCCGGAATTACGACTATCATCGAAATCAGCAGATCGAAGAGGATAACGCCAGTGCGGTGGAGGACAATGACGAGATTGACCATCTCTTTGCTTCTCGTAGTAAGCCTCGGCGTTCAAGTACACATGTGAACAGTAGAGCTCTCGGTGAGGCTTCAAGACGTTCACATGACTTCTCAAGAAATACCCCACGAATTCCTCAAGCCCGATTCAAAGGCTTTAACATCTCTATGGGCCCACCAGCAACTACCACACGGAAAAGGAAAAAACAAAGAACGGCAGGCTCGAAAAGATTGGAAATAATAAACAAATTACAGACCCGCTTGCCTGCATTTCGTCAGCTGCTTCAACAACAAGTACTTCCTGTGACCCCACCAAAGACTCCACACTCTACACAAAAAAAGGCCTCGAGTCATAAACATGAACTGGTTCCCCGTCCTACTGGCGCCCTAGTGCAACAGCATTTCAGAAGAAATCCTCTCGTTAGCACATTGGCTATTGAGACCGAGAGCGACCAAGCACCAAGGGGTGAAAGACATGTTGTCTTTGACTCAGCAGCACTGAACTTCTACCCAACTCGAGAATCTCTCTTGGGATCTATTAAAAGCACATCATCAAGCTCTTTGACGGGCATCGAGGATCCAAGTACGGTGCGTAGCCTACGTGATGGTCGTATTTTTTTTCCACTGGAGGATTCTATCTCAATTCATTTTGTGGGCAAGACTTATCTTCTTGCTCTATACAACCGTGAAGACTCATTCCGACATGTCTTGTCGCTCTTGACTTCCTTGCGAAAACTCTTAGCAAATACCAAAATGTTTTCCAAATTGGAAGTACAAGCGGAAACTCGCACAGCTTTGATTGGATTAATCAAGTGGTTACTAATTTACCGTGGAAGACCAACAAGTGCTTTATGGACACAGCTAAAGCTTAACTTAGAAGATTTCTCTAAGCTCCAACTGAAAGATGTGAGGAAACTCCAGTTTACCATTCATGCTCAATTGATTTTCATATTTTGGGTGTTAATTCAGCTTGAGCACAGCTACAATGTTAGTTTGGGCCCATCTTCAATGAAATGTTTGGAAGGATTTTGCAGTGATTTTTTTGTGATTTTCTTCAGCACATTTACAGCTCAAGACTTGAGTTCTGCGTACGCGGCGGAATCTCCCAATCACGATATATTTGAGGCTATTATGATCATATTCAACATTAATGAGAAAGAAAGCAAATATTGGTGGCCTTGTATAAGCCAAGCTATAGACGAGATAGCAATTTTGGGGAAGGAATTTAAGAGTTTACTCGATTCAGTTTACTTGTTGGGGGCGATCATCCCCAAGAAGTATTTCAATTGGGGCCCTTTTTTGCTTGTTCTCAATAAAATGAAAACGTCTGTTGATTCTTTGAGCCATCGGCATTTCATTGACACGTGCGAGCTCACTCATCAAAGACTCGAATGGCCGTTTGAAGAGAAGATTCTTACTCAGCTCTATGCTTTTTTCGGTGCACGAAAATTCTCAAACTTTGTGGACGAGTCAAACATTCCTTCTTTTGTTGGGGTTGTTCGTTCCCGCGCAGACGTCCCCGAAGAAAGTACTTTCGAACGCTTTTTGGGACTACTCTATGGTTACATTTCAAATCTTTCGCTGGCGAAAGATCTAAAACGACTTATGTCCAAAATGCTCGCGTCCAGTCCATATCACTATTTTCGAGGAAGGAAAAGTCAAATCATGTTTGCAAACCGTCTAAACTTGATTGTGCTTTTAGCGCAGGTATCAGATGTTGACTTTGGAAACCAGCTCACGAATTTGATCATACAAATTTGTGATTCTGCGGACGCATTTGTATACGGACGATCCCTAGATGCTTTGAGAGTCATTTCGGAGACAGCAAACAACAAAAACACTTCCATCCCATTGAAAGCGTTTGTTGTTCTCCTCAAGTCATTGATAAGCATGACAGCCAAAAAATTGATTCCGCACACTTTATTTCAGAATTTGATCGATTTGATGGGGGATATATTCCGTGGGACTTCGAATGATACAGATAAGGGTGTATTTGGTTTGCTCAAGGTTCTAAGCACCACTGATCTCAGTAAAATCCCGGAGACTTCAGTTTTGGATGTGCTTGGAACCGCGCTACTTTCAATCATGGAAATTGAGATTCTAGAGACGGAGTTGAACCATCAACAGTCTTCCATCTTGACTGACTTCCAGAAATCCCTTTTGAAGCTACTTAGCGCTCAAATGGACAGGATATCTGCTGTGAAAAGTAGTGAGGATGAAATAATCGAAGAGACGGTAGAATTGACGATACAGATATGGATGCTTTCCAGCAAAATGAGCAAGACTCAGCATTGGAATAACATGATGTATCAGAAATTCTCCTATCTTGGAAACTCTATATCAAGAAATCGCTTTATTATGTTCCTTTGCTTGGAGTTCATTCACTATGCGACTGTGGATTCATTCGAGCTACAGGAAATCGAAAAGGTTTTTTTAAACGGCTTGGTCTCGCCAAATTTATCCAAGTATTCCGTTGATTTGTACCAGTCGTTGAGTCGAAATGAAAAATCAATATTTTGGTCGCCAGAGTCTCAGATATTAAATGCTAACTCTGTTCTTTCGCTTGAGAATTCGCGCTTACGTATTTTGACAAAGGCTATGCAAAAGGTTGTTGATTCCTCAACTCTTCACGTGAATGAGAAATCATCATTTATATTGGGGTTTGTCAAGCGTCTTCATGATATTTATACCGATCATCATGTGGAACAAGGAGTTGCTGAAATGTGCAAGCGGGTAGCCGAAATGATTCTGCGGATAGCAAGAGACTTTGTTGCCGATTTTGACGAATTCTGGGAGTTTTCCACGAAAGTTGGACTCCCAAACAAAAACTTACAGAACAAGTGGTTTTTATCTGATGAAGCGGGCAAAGTGCAGTTGCTCAATCAGGAGTTTGTATCCGCTCTTGTTTATGAAAAAAATCATTTTCTGGCGTTGGACAATTGGATAACAAGAAAAGTCGACGTTCTCTTGTTCACTCTTTTACAAGTATATGTTTCCGCTTTGATTGCCAGCAACGCGTATTGGGCCCATGTCTCTCTACTTTTGGAATACGTTTACGTCAGACTAGAAAACTTCGATATTGATACGGCCAACCAAGGCTTCTTGCAATTACTAAACTTGCTCAAGGAGATTTCCCTCATCTCAAACTGCAAAACTGAAAGCAGGTACATTATTTATGAGATTCGCGCAATGAATGCCTGTGTTTCGATCCTTAAACATGCATTTTACGTGTTTGATGGCTACAAAGACCAGCAAGATATCAAAGACATGATATTCGGTTTCATAGCAAACGTGAACCTTGTCTGCCCGAGGCAATACAAGCTCACGACTGTTTTCATGAACTTATCTTTTGACGCTCTTCAAGGCGGGTTGCATATCTCATATCACCCTAAGTATCAGCACACTATAGGAGAATATCAAGCAGCATGGCGAACGTTAAAAGCCGCTCTTGAAGATCTCACGAACCTTGCCTCAGGGGCCGTACAAGAGGAACTCTATCGCACTGGTCTTGATGACTTTGCCTTTTTTTAAAACCGCCCCTTGCCATTATACAATCTGTATTTATATCACACCAAGTCACCGTGGTACTTCTGTTTACCATCAACACCGCATCACTGTAGGCCGCGCTGGCTTTTAATGAGTTCAATCTCAGCCTCGAGTTTATCCTTACCCTTCTTAACTTCAAGAAGCGCCACCACGGATTTCACCAACTCGTCGTATTTGGCCATTGTCTTCCGCGTGGGCATGTTTGGTTTCCAGCTCGTGCCGCCTGCAGTAGGTATGTCAAGCTCTTGAAACATGTTGTTCACAGCTTTGAAAACAGACTGCCGCTGCTGCAAGCCCGAGAGTTTTTGCGTGGACCGAAGAATCACATTGGGGGTCAAGCGCTCGTTTGCATGGTACATCAATCCGTAAGCCTCTTCCTCTTTAGTGGTGAGCCGCTTGGCTAGAAGCTGCTGGATTGGGTTGGGCTCTCCCTTCGGCTGTTGTGGCTGCAGCTTCAAGACACCTGCTAAGTACTGCTGCAAGTGGGTCTGGAAACTGCGGTCGCGCTTGTGCGAGGAGGACGCTGCCAGAGGAATTGGCGGCGGCACTGGGTCTGCCGGCACGTTGATGGATTTCTGCTGCATCTTCTTCTTTTGATGCTTATCCAAGATCATCAAGTTGTTGTAGAGATTGGTGAGGCCCTGGGACGACTGGTACTGCTGCACGGACTGGGACGACTGGGGCGAGTCCATGAGGGCGAGAAGATTGGTTCGTTCCATGAGCATTTTCTTCGCCGCAAGCTCGAAGCGGCGCGCCTCGATGACCAACGACTCTTCCTCGGCAATCTCCGCGGGAGTCCTTTTCAAAAGGCTCTCGAGGTACTGTTTGCGGTCGATCTCCGCGGACTTCGAAAACGCATCGAGCGATTCGAGAAGGCTCGGGTTGCCGGTGCCTTTGTACTTCAAGATCTTGGCGCACACGCGGTAGAACTGCTCCTTGAGATCCTCCATGGTGCGGCCGAAGCACGCGGGGAACCGGTCGTTGATGACGTGCCACTTGAGCTCGAAATCCTTGCAGAACTCGAACAACATTTTTGTCTCGTTGTAGGTCCACTCGTCGAGCGCATCTTCTGCGGCCCCATGTTCCAGGGTGGCCGGATGGGATCCAGCGCCAGCTTTTTGGGGGCTTTCCACAACTGCCTCTTTTGGCGGGTCGTTTGGCAGTCCGCTCTTTTGCGTGGAGTCCGAAGAGGCCTTTTGGGGAGAGTCTGTAGAGGCCTTTTCAGCAGAGCCAGAAGAGGCCTTGGTGCAGCCAGAAGAGGCCTTGGTGGAGCCAGAAGAGGCTTGTCGGATAGAGTCCGAAGAGGCCTTAGGGCCGTCTGGTCCTGGCTGCTGGCTTTCTCGCGTTTGGCGGGAATTGGCAGCCAGCGGGTGTTCCGGCTTCAGGACCGCAGTCTCGCCAGCCCCGTTTGGGGTTTTGTCCTGGTCGCCTTCCCTACGAGTTTCCGGGGCCTTTGTTGATGCGTCGTGTTCAGGCTTGACGGCCAGGTCTCCAGCCTTGGGCGTGTCCAGACCCGGGTCTTCCCCGCCTCTGTTTTGCTTGTGGACATGTTTCCTGCCGCCGTCTTTGTCTGCCTTGGCGGCCAGCTCCCTGGTCTTCTCACTGGCCCTGTTGGCTCGCTGTTTCCTGCGCTCTTGCTCCTGTTCCATGATCTCCGCCATGATATTGTCGAACGTCGGCTCGTCCACCATTTCGGGAATGTCGACGGCCACCAAGAACTTGTCAAAGAAGTACTCCCGGTCGTTTCCCTCGGCCTGTAGGAGCTCCCTTGAGCCTTTCTCCCAGTGGTTGAATGTGGGCGCCCACGGGCGCTTTTTGTTCGGCACAAACGGCATGCGAGTCCAGGGCGACACCCGCTGCTTCCTGCCGCCGGCCTTGGCTCCCAAATTGATGTTGACGGGGGGCGTGTTGGGACCCAAAAGATTGTATAGTTCACGGGCCATGCCGCTTTTCTGGAGCGACGGCTGCTCGGTCTTCAGCCGCTTTTTCGCAGGCTGCTGCGCATCATCACGCTGGATGTTGAGCACGTCGAGAATGTCGTTGGCCGACATTTCAAGTACGGGGTACGTGGGGATTAAAACTGGAGAGCTGGGCTTTGCTGAGTTGTAGAGCAGCGCCGCGCACGTGACTGCGCCGGTCACGTGCCGCGCCCGGCCAGGCTCAGGTACTCTGATGCCAAAGGAAGGCATATCTCGGTTTCCCGGAGTGAACTGCTTCGGGCGTGAGCAGCAATCTCAGCGGCAGTATGGCGAATCTGGGCCTTGCCTTTTCTTCTGCAAGACTGCGGCATATTCCATATCCCCAGGCTTCATTGGAGAGGTGGATATACACTATCTCGGACGGCTGAGGGCAGTCCAGGATGCTTCTACATGTGATTTCTGCTGGGGCCTCACTGTGACATAGCATGGCAGAATCACGCAGCTTTTTGATGGGCCAGCCAAAAACCGGTCCCACATCTTGTGCAATGTACGACTGCGACTGCACTACAGAGAATGGACAAAGTACTGGGTGCCAGAGCTTACCGGCATCAGCAGTGGGCGCAAAATATCGTTCTTTTGCGGCTGCCGCCTCGACGCCGTGCCTGTGTATTTCGAATCTCTGGTGCACCTTTACCTGGCTGGAACCATAATCTCACACCGGCTGGAGAAAGGATGTGCAGTCTACGGGCGTCGGTGTCCGAAAAGAGGAGCGTTTATATCCGTATCAGCCTATTGAGAAAATGGTGCATCAGCTGACCACTGGAGATGAAATCACTGTTTGGCTCGAGGAACAAGGCCAGCTCTTTGGGTAGGCCTCTGACAATGGCTGAGACCCACTTAGCCACGGTAGGAAAAAAGACGATAACTTGTTATAAGAACACAGATCGAGAGCCTTCACAATTGGGATCACATACACAAAATTTCTGTGTCCCGGTAGACACGCTGATCAAGACACCGCCCGGGAGCCGCGTGCAAGCATGTATTTGCAGATATTACTGGTGGCTTCATGGAGCACGGCCACCCAGCCCCTGTAGAAACCCAACGACGCGATCTCTTGAGATTCCGATGACACGTTGATTCAGGATTGGTGACTGGGTATCGAGAACGTCGAAGAAATCAATCAGTGCAAGTTTGTTGGGGTCTACTAATATCAGTCCAAGCTTTTTCAGAGACTTTTACTTCTCAAGGATACCTGGCCAGCCCCGGGAACTCCTCGGGTGCTGCGCTGTCCACATCTGATGGGGCGAGCTTATATGTGCCAAATCCGAAAATAGCAGCTATGGACTGATTGATATGGTTGCAGGGTCTCCGAACGAGAGTGCTCCTAGTCGCTTGGACGCTGGCACAGGACTGACGCGAACTGCTCAAACTAAGAATGACCCGTTATATGGTCGAACTTTCATGTCAAACCCGAGGCATGGATGTCAACGAGGCGCTGAGTATCTGGGGTCAACTTTTGTCGAATGCTCAAAACAATTCGAACCTTCAGATTGGACGTTCTCCCGTCATGCTCTCAGGCCAAAACTCGGCGAGCGCTTGTTCCAGAACTTGGGAGTGCAATTACATTCCAGTGTTTTGAATGAATCTAGAAATTCGTGGATTGGTCTGCGTTGGATATGAGCATATTCTAAATACGCAAGAGGCCGCCATCCGAGATGCATCTCTGCCCCTTTCAGCAAGCAAAAACGAGAATCGCTTGCGTCAATGGTATGGTAGGTTTGTGAAGCTCGGCCCGACGGTCAGGAAGACAAACCGTTTGGCTTTGTAGGCAAGAATGGCCGTTGAGAGCTGCTCGCTCAGACACGTGTTTATTCAAGCGTCGGTCGTGCGTCCCGCCACTTGACAAGACGGGTTTTTTTGAGACAAACTGGATACTTTGAACTGTGACATTGAAGGGGTTCGAGCCACGTCTACTATGAACAGGATGTTACCAAGCTTTGGTGACACAAGCTTGCACAACAGTTCCATGAATCTCAAGGCTGAAGATGACAATTGAAAATCTACGTAACTCTGTTTGGTTTGCTGAGGTGTTGAGAAAAGTTTGGACCCCGACATAATTGCCCATTGGGCCCCTCTGCGGGAGCATTCAAATGGTTTGTACCATTTTAATCCGAACCTCTCTGAAAGAGTACTCCTTCTGGAAGGAATGGCCACCTGATGATATGCTCACTTTTTTTCTTGCGAGATACTTCAATTGCGAGTCCTTTAATTGGGAGTTACTTCAATAGCAAGTCACTTCAACTGCAAGTCACTGCAAGCGCAAGTCACTTTAATGGCAAGTCATTTTAATAGCAGGTCACCTCAGTGGCAAGCCACTTCAATTGCGAGTCACTCCAATGGCAGGTCACTTGAAATATAAGTGGTCATCTTTGTGTGTCACTCCAACTGCAAGTCACTTTGCTTGCGAGTCAAGCTAGGGGACCCAATGGGGTGTCCCTAGACACGTCCTCCAAGTGCTCCACACCTGCCAGAAGTATCCTACAAGACTATGGATCTCGGAAGAAGCCATGAATTTTGCTAGCTTAGTCAAGGTATAAATATGTCTGGACGCAGGCAGCACGCAGTGGTGAACAGGAACACGCAAGCCAGGGTCTGTTGCAGAAGCATCCAGACATGCGGCCGGGCCCGGGGTCCCGCTTCACACTGCGTGGCCGTCTACGAGGCGCGGGATTCCTCCAACCAGTCCGTGGTGCCCATCTGCGTGAGCCGGCTTAGCGCACGCGCAAACGCAAACTTCTCCTCGTCGTTGGCAAACATGGAGGCCTTCTTGGCCACCAGGCGGTCGAAGCCGTGCTTGACCACCAAGTCGTCGTACTCAAAGGTCTCCTCGGTCCCCGAGTCGCTCTGTCTTTTGTACAACAGGAAGTTGTCTTTCAGAAGGTTCTCCGGCTCCACGAAGAGATCGTTGAACGCGGCCGCGGCCGTGGTGGCAATGCAGCCATGGGCGTCATAGACCGCGTCTAGAAACGTGATGAAGCGGCGCACGGTGTCGCGCACGTCGATGCTCAAGTACGGGATGTCCGTCACGACAAACGCCCGGTACGTGTGGGCCAACGAGAGGTAGTCGCCGGCACTGAGGTTCTTTCCGCAGAGCTCCTCGAACGTGAATTGCGCCACGTACGGACGGCTGCTGGCGGGCACGTGGAGCGTGCGGCCCCACACCGTGATGCTGTCGTCGTGCAGCACGGCCTTGTCGTGGTTGGCCTGGTTGAAGTACTCGTACCACTTGTCGCAGTGCTTCTGGCGGGCGCTGGCCGACGCCTTGCTGTGGTACTTGACGCCCGGATTCGGGAAGTAGTACACGGAGGAGAACGGCCGGGGCATCTTGCGGTAGTCCGTGGGCGAGTTGAGGTAGATGACCCTGGTCTCGTTCTTGATCATGCGGATGCAGGGGATGAACAGCACGCGCTGGATGCCGTTCAAGTACAAGTCGTCCGGCGCACGGTTGGACGTGGCGAACAACACCACGCCGTACTGCGGGCTGAGGAGCAAGGTGAGGAGGCGCCGCAAGAGCATGGCGTCCGCCACGTCCGTGACCTGGAACTCGTCGAAACACAACACCGTGGCGGTCTTGGCGATCTCGCTGGCCAAGAGCGGGATCACGTCCAAGTCCGCGTGTCCGTGCTCGCGCTTGAGCTGGTACGACCGCTTGTGGAGGTTCTGCATGAACTGGTGGAAGTGGAACCGTCGCTTGGGGAGGCTGGCGGGCACGGTCAGGTAGAACAAGTCCATGAGCATGGTCTTGCCACACCCGACGTCGCCCCACAAATAGATGCCCTTGACGAGCGACGGCTGCCCGTCCCGGGTGCGCTCGCGGCGCCTGAGCATGCCGGACCAGAATTTGGAGAGGCCTGTTTTGGGCTTCAAGTCCTCGACGTCCGGCGTGGCCACGGGCGGCGGCCGGTACGCCTTTAACTGCGCGTGGAGGCTGGACAAGCTCAGAAGAATCTTGCGCTGGTAGGGGTCGTCTGTCAACTTGTGGAGCGCCACGCGGCGGTCGTACGCTTCTAGCGGCGTGTAGCTGTGGCTGCGAGCTGCGCCCGCGCCGAAGAACCGGGGCCTCCATGTGCGGGGCTGTTTTGCCGGCGCCAATCTAGATAGGAGCATGGCACGTGAATGCAAGGGAGGAGAGCACAGGGCCTGGAGCAGCGTGGAGCAATCTGGCCGGGACTGGGAGTGCTTACTAGATGATCTGACTCCGGGTATCTGACGCTGGGGTCGCCTGACGCTAGGGTAACCTGACGCTAGAGTAACCTGACGCTAGAGTAACCTGACGCTAGATAATCTGATGTTCTGAATACAGATGTTCTGAACCTGAAGTTATCTGACCCTGGATGTTCTGGATCCAAATGTTCCTGCTCTTAATGATTCGGGTTTGGAGTGATCTGACTTTAAATGGTCTGACTCTGGATGGTCTGACGCTAGAGTGGTTCTAGATGTTCTGAATCTGGAGTCCTCTGAATTTGGATTGATCTGAATCTGGAGTGCTCTGAATTTGGAATGATCTGACTCCAGATGCTCTGACTCTTTATGTTCTGACTCTGTATGATCTGACGCCAGAGTGATTCTAGATGTTTTGGATCTGGAGCAATCTGAACCAGATGCTCTGAATCTGAAGTTATCTGACTCTGGATGTTCGGAATCCAGATGTTCTGAATCTGGGGTACTCTGAATCCAGATGCTCTGACTCTTTATGTTCTGACTCTGGATGATCTGACTCTGGATGATCTGACGCTAAAGTGATTCTAGATGTTCTGAATCTGGAATAATCCGACTCTGGATGTTCTGACTCTCAATGTCCTGACTCTGGAGTTCTCGGACTTCGAGTAACCTCACTCTGGACCAATCTCACTCCAGTTAAATCACTCAAAAAAATGACCAAGTCTCCCCCGGGCGTTGTCACGTGGTGGAGCGAGAGGCAGGCTTGTCTTTCTGCCAAAACTACCGGGAAAAAAACGAGGACCAAGGGCTTCTTGATTAGGAAATCCCGGCGATAGTGGGGTGCCCCGGAAAAACGCTGGGGCATCCGGGCATCTTTTTTCTCGTAAGCTCGCGCGTGCTGGCCCCGCAAATCCGGCTCGCCTGCAGCTTGGCGTCATATGGCCCCGCTGGTTTCATGGTGTGGGGCCCAGGGCTTCTTGCTACCAACGTGTTTTTTTTTTTTTTTTTCAGAATCGCGTTGTTTTCGAGTGTCGGTGGGGATAACAAGATGATCGTAGTATGAAATTTGCGGTCTTTTTTTTTCTTCTTTTGGAGGGAAGAGCTGTTTCGATGAAGCGCCCGGATGTCAGTGGCTACTTCTGCTACATAGGGCCGCTTGTTCGCGGAACTAGGCCGAGCTGTGCCGAGCAGAGTCCGATGAATATATATATAATGTATGATAATAGGATAATGCTAACTGAACTATCAATTTAACTATTATATAAAGCAAGGTATATAATATAGATAAAGTATTGAAATAATTAAGTTTATAATGGATATCACTAAGTCATATATAATATATATACAAACACTGAAAAATATATTACCCGAAGGGTGATATATTCTTCAACTATTATATTTCTTTTATTAACTTAAACTTTAAATATGAAGGAAAGTTAATTCAAATAATGCCCGAAGGGTATCATTGAAAATAATCAAAATTACAGGGTCATGACTAAAATTATTACATTAGTAATAGTTTTATTATAGGAATTAAACACTTATATTTATACATATAAATAATGTTAGGTGTATATTTTATATTTATGGTAAAGTGTCTAGATATACCTCGGTAAGTATGTTTTTATAAGGCTCTCAGATAGTTTACACTATTGATGTCAATCAACTTTTACTTTTATAGTAATGTAATCAAAGATATCATTAAATTTAACTACTTATTATTATTTAAAAGATATGAAAGCTTATAAAGTTGAAACTAATACTTTACTTTATACTTCTTGAAATATTTTTTTAAGATCATAATATTTTATATATTTGGGCATATTATTTGTTCAATAACTTATACAAGCACCTTTAAACACATATATACCTATTTTTTTATGTTTATAAATAAATAAGACAATATTATACAAAGGTAACCTTTGAAAAAGTCATACCGAAGGGATAACCTTATCTTTGAAAAGGTCATACCCAACCGAAGATCGGGGTGAACCTTCGGTTGGGGATATCAGGGTGTATATCCCCGGCTTCGCCGGGTATATTAACCCATCCAGGGTGTATGCGTATACTATATTAGTCAAACCTGTCTATTCCTTGTTATATTTTACATTACTTATCTTCTATGATTTGGTATTCATACATCTTCTTTCATTGATTTTATATTTGTTAATCGATGTTAAGTGAACCGTCGGAGTTGCATGGTTAGTGAACCCGGTGGGAGATTTCTTTTACTGTATTAGTTTGTATTTTTCTTTGGCGTGTGTCTGTAAGATAACCCGTCATGTTTGATAAGTTAAGGAAAAGTCGCGAGAGTTATTAATTCAAGGGGCCGCGAAAGTTATAAACGGGTGGGACATGATTGGGTTCTTAATTCGCATGTTGTGGTAATTGTTTGCAAATTCCCAAAAGTGGTAATTCACAAAATTTGATGAATCACAGCATGTAGGAATTTCTTGGGGTGGATGATTCCCAGGATCTAGTGGTTTTTGGATGGTAACACTGGCAATATATGCGAACAGATGGTTAACAGCACCCAGTGATTCTATGGAATTCTTACTCCACGACAGTGGTCATTCTTTGGGATTCGTACTTTACAGGATGTAATACACGGGCATTGATAGTTCACAGAATGTAGTGCCTTAACTTCTCAATTAGTCAGTTATGGAATTTGATAAACGATCAAAGTGATTATTCATGGGAATGGATATGTCACAGGATGAGATTATTTACAAGAAGCATCTGACAGGTGCGTTATTGCTGGCCGGCACAGTCAGAATCACCTTCAGTGCAATCCAACTCAAGCGTATCAATGGCTGTATGTCCTGAGGCCTATGAACGCAAGAATATTACGTTGAGAGCAATTATCGCAATAACAGCTACGCCCCAAAATTCTAAAAAGCTCAGTTAAATTTTCTGAGTCGGTGTTGCAGATCTGGGATTTTTTCACGCAAAATCTATAGATGTCCGGGAATTCGACGTGCTTACATCTTTCCCAATCTCGCAACAAGAAACATGAAAACTGGGATGCTTCGGAAAAACCAGGAATTCACTTTGCTTGATTTCGTGTTTTGTATGGATTTCGACCTATTATAGCAGGCCTGTAACCTCATGTTTTCTTTGATGGTGGAGGATAATGGAATCTATGTCACCAAAGTCAGCTGTCTGTCATATTCCCACACCCATCAGCAAAGCACGGTCTCTTGTTAATACGGTTGCTTCACGGAAATACCCTACCCATACAACACAGCAGGAACGCTTTATATGAGATTAAGTGTCAATCATGATGTCCAATCTATAGCGAGCAACATCAGAACCATGAACCAAAAGTGCAATTTCTCTAATATAGTATTGATCGATTGCTTAATTAGTGGCTGCGCCACACACCCTAGATACAAAATCTTGTAACCACAAGTGGTATTGATTATGCAAAAGTTCTTTCAGTAATGAACCAGACATCACGCAGTGGCAAAAACTCCCATGTGGAAGTTTTTAGGACCAAAGAAAGCAGAACACCCCTCCTTTGTACTTCCCGATTGCTCTGCTGTCTTTAGAAGCAGATTTGAGACTCTGACTCTGACTAAGGTTCCTCGAATCATTGAAAATTCACAAACTGACTGGTCGAGGCAATTGGCGTGTGATGAGTCCCATTAATCAGAATAAAAACGTTGGATGAAGTGTTTTGCAAAGCCTTATAGTGTATTTAGGGAAAATGGGCCAGAGAACCTGGACACATCAGTTTTTAGACGAAGATGACATGCATAAACACGGGAATGAGAGGTTCGGTTTTGTTTTAGCATGTCGTTGTTAGGATTTCCTTCCATGTCCCAAAACAAACAACCCACTGGTCTCTGCAAATTTTTCCAGCGCTCAGATACACAAAACAAATCACATTATAAAGTTAAAAAGAGTAGCTGGTACAAATGTTTGAAGTTAATAGACGAGGTTTCAACCCAAGAAACTTCTCCTAGCTTTGCCGACACTATTTATGCCCATAAAATTCAGCCATTCAGGCTTCTTAAGCCGACTCAAAAGAGAGACCAATGGGCGTGTACTTAGAAAGTCTTATGAGATTCATGTTCGAGAATTCCACTTGAAAGCAACAAGTCTCGAAGCTTGTTTAGGCCATAGGGCTGGAAAAGTTTTATAAACTACTTTGCAAACTCGAAAGATCATCTACGCCAATAAGCTCTAGCGCTATGGAACAGAACTGCGCATGATTATGCTTTATTCACTTGAAATACACAGGTTTGCTAGTAGATATTTATAATTTTCCCTAAGTATAAAATAAGGCGCAGAATTTCCTGAAACTCATGCACCTTTTAAATTCAATCAACATCCACTCTTCATTAATACTGACCTCATGTTCCATGCTACTGAGCTAAAAGCCGTATTCTGATTTTTTTTTTCATTATCTGTCTCGATATCTATAACTCCGATAGTCAGCGGCTTTCTGTTTTTGTCAGCCAATGCTTCTTGCGTGCTTCAGTCAAGGTCAGCTTGAACTTGTACTGACCGTTGCTTCATTGTGTTTGACGAACACTACTCCAGAGTTGAACGTCAGCGTGTGCAACTGTGCTTTCTTGAGATTACCTGGTGTCCGTCATTTCAAAGAGCAAGTCGTCGTTATCAAAGCTCATATCATGGTCTTGCGAGGATTGATGTTTATTGCCACGCAGGGAGACGAAGTAATCAATCCCCTCATCATCTTCCTCAAATACATTCTCGTACTTGACATCCTCTCTTGAAGGATTGTAGGCCGAGGGGCTTGTGGCAGGCCCGGAAACAGCCTCTTTGGATCCTGGGCTAAGAGCATGTGTTGCATGTGCGATTGTGGTCACAGTCAGTGGTGGGGCCACTAGATGAGGCGCATGTGAGCTTGTGTGATCAGCCCGACTCGAAGGTCTATTTTCCGAGGAGCTCTGTGATCTCTGGGAATCAAGTTTGCTGAGTCTTGACACAATAGACGGTAAGTGTGAGTTCTCGTAGGATCCAACTGGCAAGGACGGCGCCGGTGAGCTGGTGGACTGCGATGATCTCCTGACCACGAGTTTATCGTCCAGCGGCGACCTGGATTGATTGTGCTGGAGTACTAGGCTAGCACTCACGCTATCACTTAGATGCTGGTATTGACTTTTCAACAACTGAAATCGGTTTAAAGCCTCAAAATGTGTGCTGCCATCATTGTTTGGAGTGGCCAGCTTCGAGTCGTGATTGCTGTTGCTCAAGCGAAGTTCAGATGTCCCGTCAATCATTTGAACAAAAGAGCTGATGTCATCATCCGCATAAAGCCCACTGAAGGGCACACCTGAAGAAGCCAGTCCCACACTAGTACCAACGTACGCGTTACTCTCTGCGTTGGAGCCCCCTGCATTTCGAGCGGAAGTGTTGCTGAATCGCCGACTCTGACGGGACCCAAAGGACGAGGAGAAGCGAGGGGTGTTGGGATTTGACTCTTGGTTGGTGTCTTGATGTGGCCCACCAGCGGAGGAAATCGGCCGGGGCAACAGAAGATTGTGGTTCTGGTGGTTTGGGCCCACGCCCACATTGACATTGGGCGTGTTAGACGACGACGTGCTTCCACGCGGGTTCCTGAGCAAGGCCACCAAGGACGCATTGGACCCTGAACGGTTGCTGGTGATGGAGATGCGGCGTTCCATGGAGGAGCTTCTCCCACTGGTTTGAACCGAAGCGAGGGTGCCGTATGGCGGCGAGGACGAGCTGCCAATAGAGCCCACCTTGAAAGGCTGGATGCTTGGCCTGGCATTGGCTGGCAGAGGGAGTATGGTTGCCAGACCCGGTTTTTTCCCAGTGGTCCGTGGAGAGGTGTTTCCAATGTCCTGAGGCTCGGAGGTGCACGGCAGCACGGAGTACTTCTCGCGGAACTGGCCGAAAGAGCCGCGGGGCGCCTTTGCATCTGCTTCGTGGCTCAGGACGCGCGTTGCGCCCGGGGCCCTCTCCTCGTCAGTGCTTTCCTTTCGCCTGAGCTGCTGCACAGACTCGGTCTGCGAGCCGCTCTCAGCCGAGCCCCTCGCACGCAGGTTTTGAGAGCCCCGTGCACGCTCGTGGTCCGAAAGAAGGAAGTGGTTCAGCAACCGCTCCTCTTGGTCCTGCGCGTTGAACTTGTGGTGGTTGCGGTATGCCACGGACACGCGCAACGTGCCGAGACTGGTGTGGATGGGCGAAAACTCCCGCTGCGTCATGTGCGACTCGGTGGTGAGCATCTGGTGGGGCACAATGGACTTGGAGAGCCCCACACGGCCCTTGGAGTTGACCGGCTGTTTCCCATCGACGAAGCGGTTCCGCAACGCCAAATTCTTGTTGGCCCGCTTTGCCACGAGCTTCTTGGCCTTGTATGCCGGGAGGAGCCGGACGACGCCGTAGATCACGCGGAGAAGCACGATGGCCTGTTTATACACGAGGGGGAGCTCCTCGGAGCTGTCGACGACGCTGTCGGGGCCGCAGGAGCTGCGGTCAAACTCGATGAGCCAGCGCTCTAGAACCACCTCCAGCTTCTTGGAGCCGCCCTCGGCCACGGGCCAGCAGCTGCCGTGGTCGTCCTCCAACATTACCATCTCACACGCACTGAGCTGCCGGAGGTCCAAGAAAGTCTCCACAATCATGGGGGGAAACTGCGACAAGTCCGCGTGGGACTTCCAGGGCTTGAGCTCCAGCCGTGCCCACTCGCTGTCCAAGCTGGGCATGTGCAAGTTGAACCACTTGTTGATTTTGGAGGTGCCGCTGCTTTCAGCCGAGGCCACGCCGTCATGTGCCAGCGGTTTCGCCTCAGGCACGGACCGCGCCTGCACAATGACCAGCAGCGTCTTGGTGAAGAAGTTCTGCACCACTTGGACGAGTTTCGAGTGCTTGCGCCGCGTTTCAGAGTCCGTTGCCGCCGGCGCTAGTTTCTGCGTGTCCATTGTGTAGATTCGGGACGTTTTCGACCGGATTTTTTTAGCTCTGTCCGTGCGCCACTATGCCAATGTTAGGAATGACACTCCTTCGTGGGTATACGGTGGCTCTGGCGGCGTTTCCGGACAGGTGTACGCCTTTTGGGAGGCTTTCTGATCCCGCGGCTAGAAGATGCTTGGAACGGCCAAAAGACGGGATTTTGCGATGCAGTTTTTTCAGATGCGGGGTTTGTGCACGTGCCGTGACAGCTGCCTGGGTCTCAGAGGGCGTAGGTGTGTTTTGGAGGGCGTACCTGGGTGTTGATTGCGGCTTCTTACGCATTTGTGGGGAGACCCGAGACGGGATCTCAGAATCTGCCGGGAGGTACGGGTCTGTGTGGCCACGCTTGCGCCTGCCTCGTGGGCGCTGCTCCTCGTGATGGCCCCGCGGGTGTGTTAATACATTTCGTCTGGTGTTTCTGCTTAATGATGCTACTCTGTAGACCCAGACCACCCAAGCCGCCTTTGTTTCTGCTGGCTATGATTCTGGTTTACCGGTGAGACGCGCGAGAAGAGCCACGCTTCCCGAGGTCACGTGAGACGCCAAGTAGAGGTGCTAATTTAGTAGGCGTCAGAGCAGACGGCCCTTCTGGAAGAGCTCTTTAGCCGCAACTGGCCGTGTGGCTCTTCAAACCGGCACATATTGCGAAGTAGTATACGAGTCACCTCTCACATCCCTGCGTTGCGAACATCCCTGTCTTTTCTGTTCAATGGGCCGACATCAATACCAGGCGAGCCGCGGCGTTATCAGCACAAATTAATAGCGCCCTTTGAATTTCTCTCCTCGTCGCTTTCTCGGCATACGCACTAGAAACCTCGATGGCCGTACGCTTAGACTCGCTCAAAAGAGCGCTAGATAACGCCATGTGCGAGTCGAGATTCTTCCAGATATTGAAGTCTCCAGGGAAAAGCATGGCAAACTTCTGCCAAACAGTAGACCCATCCCTTCCACTGACACGGTCGCTAATCTCCTTTAGTAATTTGGGCACCTGGCGGAAGTTGTCTCCAATAAGCTCCTGTAACTTCAACGATTCCAATTCCTCCTTGATGGGGATGTAGTAGTCTTCAAAATCATTGACCACTGAAATGGCACCCAAAGTCAAAACGACAAGCAATGAGGACCCATTTTCTTCCATGAACGTGAACAACTGATCGATCGCCGCTTGTTTAGACTCAGGCGTGTCAAGCGCATGCAAAATCTGGGCCGTGAGTGTCACCGCCTTTTGCGACAGTCCGTGGTCAGCAAGAATCATCTGGAACTCCTCAAGCGCTTCATTGTACTGTTCATTGAAGAAAAACGAAAGTCCAATAACAATTCTTGAAGAAAGAATAGCCTCACGAACAGCAGGAGAAGTCTCTTCCTCCGCCACAAGATCCAAAGTAAATTGTGCGTTTTCAATGGCGCTTTCATAATCTCCCATGCCCATATACACTCTTGCCAACAGTGTCTTTGTCGTTGCCACTTCGAGCATCACGGCTGAGCTCTCAGATTTCTCGAATTTCTTTTCAAGCACTTCGCTCAATTTCTCCCCAACAACTATACTACTTTCGTACGTGTGGCATCTTTCACTCAAGAGAAGAGCGAGCTTGAGCCCCGTTTCGTTTGTGGGCTGAAACTTCAAGAAGCTCTGGATCGCAAAATTGGCAATACTAAACTCTTGTGCAGCCTCAACATCCCTGGCATCTTTGGAACTTCCAATTCGGTTGTTGAGAACAGAAAGAGCGTAGCACAATTGTGCCAATGCACTGCGACCGTTTGAAAGAACATATGCGTGCGTTGATAAACCCTTCGACTTCTCTTCATCTCCTGAAGCCTCGGCAGTCAATGCATTTCCCAACCATGGCATAGACTGTTCTGGGGCCATGGATGTTGCCCTGTCAAAAGCTTCCTGTGCCAATTCTGCGTCGCCGTATCTCAAGTATAGAGCAGCCAAATTTGACCAAACACTGAAATCTTTTGAGTCAAACACACTGGCCTTGATGAAACAATGTTGTGCAAGCAGAGGATCAAGAGAAACATATGCATTTCCTAACGCAAGCCAGTATTGGGCATTCGCCGGTTCAAGTTTGATTGAATCTTTAAACTGCTCGATTGCCATATCACGGAAAGCAACATTGGCTTCCTCGCAAACATTGAAAGCATCCAAAAACGCCAACCCAAGGTTGTATTTTGTGTACGACCGCACAAGCTTGTGCACTTTTTGGCCTGATGCATGGATTGCGGCTCTTGCTGCCAAGACATTGAGCATAGAGATTGCCTCGAGATGGGAGCCATCTTCAAATAATGATTTGGCTGCCTTTGATGATGCATGCTCATCGTCAATCCCAGAAACAGTCTTCAAAGTTCCCAAGACATGATCAATTGGTAAGTCGGATATGTCCTGTTGGACGTGTGTAACTAGCTTGAGACACTGACCCAAAGATTTCCACAAACTCAAAGAAGTAGGATTTTTCTTTGCCGCTTGTGCGATGATCTCCATTGCCGAGTTGTTGACCAGGAGGGTTCTCTTGACAAAACCGCCCAGAAGCAACTGCGAGCTATACATGATATGTTGCTCGTACAACGCATTCAAGATGCATTCTGCATCAGGGTTCATGGTCAATGCTGTACGCAAAGCCTCGAGTCCGCTGGCGTAGTCTCCAATGGCACATACTGCCGAACCCAACATGTAGTGACTGACCCACGAAGTGGGGTCTGTTTTGACTGTATGCTGAAAAACTTTGAGAGCAGCGTCCATTCGTCCGCAGTTGTAGTAAGCCTCGCCCAAGCCGATCCAACACTCCAAATCCATGGCGTGCATGCGGAGGGCTGTTTGAAACCACTCAATGGCCTTAGCATCGTCCTGTCTATTAAGTGCAGAACATCCCAAAACACGGTACGGCCAGGACTTGTCCGGGTCCTCATAGAGCAGACTGAAAAGAATTCTCCTGCTTTTTTCAGACGTTACCACTCTTTTACACAAGATCTCGGTGATTTCCCAGTCGCTCTTCTTGGCCAAGTCCTTCACTAAATACTTGGCCGCGGTGATTTCAGCAACATCAAGCTCGAAAGCTTTGTAGAAGCACTTCTGTGCTCTGGCTTTGTCATCATAGTGATCGTAGTATAAGATTCCAAGAAGCGTATAAGACGGGGCAAAAGTCTTTGAGTCCTTGAGCGAAAGAACAAGGAAATTATATGCGCTTTTCAAGTTGGCGTCATTCTCTGAGTCCTCCATCAAGAAGCTTTTCGCCAATCTCCAGTGAATGTCTGCGCGTATGACAAACGATTTGGGGGACACCTCTTGAACATGCTCGAGTGCCGATTGCAACACCCCTCTTCCGTCGGCGTATCGCTCTTGCAACACGTGACACCAGCCAAGCTCCATAAGCGCCCGTGGGTCACCAGGAAAGTCACGTGCCACCAGCGAAAGAAGGTCGTAAGCACTGTCCAATTCACGCTTGGCAACCAAGATCAAACCTTTGCCTATCAACGCCTGTTTATTGCTGCTGTTATCCAGAAGAATCTTGTTGTAGAGTTGAAGCGCCCTGCTGAAATTCTTTGGTGCTTCGTGGTATGTGTACACACTTGCAAGCAGGCACAAGACACTCTCCTTACAGTGGCAAAGATCGATTCCGTACGTTCTCTGGAAATCAGCCAAATGACGGATGACAGTTGTGCACTTTTCCAATGCCGCCTCGTAATCCTGGATGAAGATGAGGTAGCTGCACACGATGCGGTGTGCTAACATAGAATCGGAACATTTGGCGTAGCCTTGAAGCATGAGATCGAGCACTTCCGTGGGCGAGAGTCCTTCCGTATGTGTGTCGTCGGTTTCGAGAACATCGCTATCAAGGAGCTCGCCATCAAGGAGCTCTTCCTGCAGCGGCTCTGGCTCCAGCTTTTCACCAAGATAGATGTCCTTAAACTGCTCCTTGTCGAGGAGACACATGTCGCTCATAACATACAGATAAAGCACAGCACTCAAGCCCTCTCCTTTGAATTTCTGAATGCATCTTTTGAGCAATCCCTGGTCGAGGTCGTCGATTGACGGTGAGTCCTGGAGGTCTAGATGGAGTGACCACGTGAATAGATCAGGGGTGTCTAGAAGCACCAAGTCGTCTGCCATTTCCTTGATCTCCTCGAGCAAACCAGCTTTTTCCGGTTTGATTTTCAAGAGCGCATATTTGTACTTGAGGAGTTCAATCTCGTATTTCCGGCGCAGCTCATCGTCATCGCTGGTCTCAAGATATATCTGGTAGAGCGCCGAGATATCGGAGTCCTTACGAAGCGACCACTCAAGTTCGTGCAAACGTGCATGCAGCGCTGCGGTAAGTACACGGGGCAAGCGGAGTTTCTCCTTGGCCAAAGCCTGACGCACCTGCTGATCTTCCCTGGATTTTACGAGCGTTAAGAGCTTTTTCACACTTTCAGCCGGGTTTCCCATGGCAGAACCCAAGAGATTGGCCAACTCCGTTCCCGGGAGAATGGCACGGAGATACGTTTCGTTCAATATGGCATCTTTTTGAAAGTCACGTGCGTGCAAGTAGTTGAAGACGTCCTTCACGGTGTCTGCAATCGGCACGTCCTGCTCGATTTGCACATGTAAATATTTCGTCAACACCCGGAAGTATGTGTCGTAGTTATCGCTCGATTTGGCAACCTGGTACCAGCCTCGCCAGCCCAAGAGATTTTCGGGCTCCAACTCGGTGGCCTTCTCAAACGAACTCTGCGCTTTTCCCAATTCTGAAAGCAACTGATACAGCTTGCCTTGAAAGATGTAGGCAAAGTAGCAGTTTTTGTCCATTTTGAGGGCTTCTTTCGCGTGATCAAGCGCGTCTTCTGGATCATTGCGGTCGATTGCCGCCTTGGCGGCCTTGAGCAGTTGTTTCAACGACATTTTGTGCCGTATGTCTTTTTTTTGTTTGGTTTGCACGAGTGCAAGTTCACTATCTGGGTCACTGGGGGCGCGAGTACGTTGAGCGTCACGTGACGCGGCCGATTGTTCGTTTTCTTGTTTTTAGCGGGTTCACTTGATATAAAAGGTTGGCGAGAAAATCAGTCGAAAAGTGGACCTTTGGGGATAAATTTGGGGAATTGTGGAGTTTTCTTCTGTTTCTTTCTTTTTCGCTATATCTTTTGCAGGCATTGATGCGGCCGCAAGAATATACATGTCGCAGCGTGTTCAGAGCGTTAGTAGATGAGGATAGGATGTGCTGATTTCCGATGTGATGACCCCTTATCCACAGTTTTTCCAGGGTCCACCTGTGTTTCTCAAGTATCATTTTCTTCTCACGTGAAGTGATTGTCACTCAAAAACTAGTTTTTAGTTTCACAGTGCTTACTTTTCATTTATTGGTGCGAAAATGTTGATATATATACATAACGTATTTGGGGGCAACATTATTGAGATTTAAGTTTAGAGTTTCATTTCGAGTCATTTTCGTCAGACTAAATGGCATCAAGATGAGACAGCGTATTCATTGTTGAATGAGAAACTGTGTGCTGTCTCTGGGGGTGAATTTTGTCTGATCGTCTTGCGAGTTTTGAACTACGGTTGTAATATGAATTCGTAGACTTTTAATAATCACCTGACTATTTCCAGATAGAAACTAAAGAAGAATAATCCTTCAGTTTGACCATCTCATATACTTGCACTACAATGTCAAAAGAAAAATCAATATTTTGATGAACTAAAGCTTTCCACATACCAAACATTTCCCACAGACAATTAGAGTTAGTCCAGCAAAAATCCAGTGGCGCCAGACGATAGGTGAAGAAAGCATGAAATTCTGATTTAGCATTTGTTTTGTCTCACTGGGTGGCTATCTAATCTTTCGCTTTTTGATTCAAAGTGGATTTCTCGATGAAGCGCAGATTCATACCGAATTCTGCAACTTTCATAGTCAGATTGTGAGCGGCTATCTTCTTATCTAATTATCTCACGCATATTTGTTTCACGAAAACGAAGTCAAAATATGCCTCATTGTAGTACAGAACAGACTTTTAACTCGCTAAAGTTATGAATTAACAAAACCTTGTGTTTCCGTTGGCATTTGTTGGAAATCTTGATTTTTTTTTAGTTTAGTTGTTTTCTTATTCTAAGGGTATGCACCCGATATACCAAGTAAAATGTCCCGCCACCTGCTACATTAAAGGGATTTCCGCAAAAGACTCATTCTAAAAACAGATGACTAGAAATTTTTCGCCCTTCAAAAAGAGACGGCTCACATTTCTGAGAGCTGTTTGACGGTATTACATGAATGAAACATACTTTCTTCCTTTCTCCAAATTGAACAAGAAGAGTCATTTCGCGATTCTACTTCTGGATTTAACTTCTATAGTGCTGGATGTTCAGACTAACAATTAATGGTTTTTTGAGAAACCACAATAATGCGCAGTTGTACAATACCTAATTTCATGTCTCATCAGAAGTTCAAAATATTAGAAAGCCGTAAAGATGGAATTGTCACTTCAGGTCACCAGTAGCCGGCACCCAATATTCGGGTTTCTCCAAAGAGTATGACACTATCAAAGAATCTCAGGAACTTTATATTTTTCGGAAGCGGATTTTTAGAAGACGATTGTGACAGGCGTAACAACTGAAGAAGAGACTGGATGCGAACACTGGTGTCGAAACTGCAGAATCAGCCCGACAGTACTAAGTGGGCTCGTAGACCTATCGCGCAGCCCATATTAGATACTTTTTAGCTCAAGAACTTCACTTCAATTTAAAATTACAGTTCTGGTCCATGCAATAAAAGCCCATAGCCCTGGATCTGTGCGTCAAAGAAAGATCTATGTATACGAAAATATTTTCGTGATCTTGCATCAAATAATTACTGAAAAGAATATTACGTGGGTTGTCACACAATCACTTCGTCTTTCTTTGCACTTTTTTGAACTTTCCAATATCTTCCCTTATAAATCAATGTGAAGTTTATTATTTCCCAAAAACATGCAGCTTGATGTCTCTTGATCAAGAGAGTTAAGATAGACGAAGCACGACTGCTGACATCCAAGTCAAGGCTTGTATTTGTTGTTACCACGAGAATGGGGGATACTAGGCGCAAAATTGATTTCATCTTGAAGCCTTCTTGGAATACGAACTTTCCACGTGAAACTACCAAATCCACACTTTAGCAGCTTTAGAGGTCCCTTTCCAAAGCTCAGAGACAATTTATTCTTGGCGTATTTCCATTGCTTCGTACAATTACTTGGGTAACACGACGGTTACAACTTGTTATTGTCCAAGCAGTTCCGGCTGAAGGAAACCTCCAAGTTGTCCGTCATCGATATGCCGGAGTCCAACAAAATCTCAACTATTGGAATGTCGTATTTAGCATACATGGGAGTACCTCTCAATCCTACAATCACTGCACCACCAAGGAGACGTACAGCTCGAGACTACCAATTTGGAATGGCGATTATGGAAGGATCGTACTTGACTGTGTATCTGGCGATATACCTAAACAACCAAAGAACCTATGCCTTGAATATACTCTTGAAGAAGCACATTCTTAAAAAGGGGGAAAATCAAGTATGTCAATATCGAAAAGACCACCGTGCATCTTTTGGGCGTCAAGCACCCGGAAACCGTACTACAGATATCGAGAAAGCCCACAACGCCTTCTCTTTTTTCCAGACACAAGAGCCTTGTTCTCACAAGCTAGTTGAGACTACTGTAATATCTTCAAACAAAAAGTACGTATTGCTTCTTGGCATTTGATAATTCATCTACACCTTAATTTTATAAAACCTCTGGCTACCACTTACCGTGTATTCGTACAGCAACAGTAGTCATAGTGTGAAAAAAGATATACCTTGTGCAAGCACGTCTATCTATACAAAAGCTCCGAATTGTCCTTTTGCGCTTTCTCAAACTCGTCGAGTAAAGTAGCAGGAGGGGGGTAGGCCGAGTTTCGACACTTGGTACGCAGCTGGAGCTGGTTGAAGTTTTGATGCATATTAATTGTATATCTCTTTTTCTTCTTTAATCAGGTGAATCTACTGGGAAAAAAACCTTCTTAACTGCTTTTAGACTTTATACGCCATACGAGTACCTCAGTGATGGTAGTCGACACATGGTTGATTAGTCTTTCGCCCGAGTGTTCCATGTTCATGCTGCTAGGTTTTTGGACGGTAAGATGAAAGCCCTGCCAAGGTGATTCCAGTATGTCAGTGTGTTTTGAATCCCAGGCTTTATAATTATTAGCTAAACGTTGCCCGCGAGAATGTATCATTTGATACTCTTGTGCCATGGCTTCCCTACAGCACTTTATTTGCTACAGCAACAAAATAAAGCCAGCGGCAGAAAACAGAGCAAATACTAGGCGCAACTAGACAGCTTGAGCTAAACTAAATTTGGTTATCCCAACGGTCGCCCATGCGCAGTGAGTAGATCACCGAGCAGCATGCGAGCTGCATTTCGAGTTTTGATGGGTCAAAGTTCACAATTCCCCTAAAACGCCTGCGAGAAAAATAGTCGATATTTTCCTCTCTTCGTGGTTATTGGCATGTGGTGGAACGCTTCGTGGTTTATTAGCTTTGGAGCTTTGGAGTGTAGCGCCGCGCGGGCCCAGCGCCCAGGCAGTACAAGAAGCATTAATAACCAAAAACAAAAAACAACAAGACAACAAAAAAGAGACCAGAAAAAAACCAAAAGCCTAAAAGCCCAAAAGCTCCAAGAAACCACAAAACAACCAAAACATCCCCACCAATTCCTGCCCACCACCGGCCCAGCAAGGGGGCACCGGGGCACATGACCGGCCATGGCCAAGGTGAGCCACTCGTTCAAGAAGTATTAACCATCACCAATACACCACAAAAAACAACAAAAGCAACAAAACAATAGCAGCAAACACAATGAGCAAAAGAAAAACCACCCAACACAAACCACCAAACCACCAGATAAAATTCTTCGTGGAGCTGGCGAAAAAGTGGGGGATGAAAGAAACATAGGCAGCCATGCGCCAGAGCCAATTCCTATACATCATGGATTTGCCAAATCTTGCAGACGAGACTGCAAATATGGCTTTTGCGGTGACTGTTTGGGGATGGTTTTGGAGGACACACGCTGGCTTGTATGCTGTGTCTCTTCGCTTAGCAATCTCTTCCTTTAATAATTTCTCTTCCTTCATCTCGTCTACTCCTTCATCTTGTCTCTTCCTTCATCTTGCTTCCTTTATCTTCCTTTATCTCATCTTATCTTATTTTATCTTACCTCCTTCTTTTTCTGGTCTTTTTTTCTCTTTTTTCCCTCCTCTTTGTCTCTTCCCTCATCTCGTCTCTTGTCTCTTTTCTGCTCCGCCTGGTTGTCTCATTATCTTCAACGTTCTTACCGTTGTTGCTAGCTAGTCATTCCGCTGCACTTGCGCTCTTTTTCTTCACGCTCTTTACAGGCCCTAAACAAACAGCCAATCGACGCGAATTAAAAAAAACCCATTTCGCCTCAAGTTTCTGGCGCCCTACAAAATTCAAGCCTTGTGTTTACAGTGTTCCTCCTCGGCAACGCTTAGCACCAGAACTTAGAGCCAGCCCTAATTACCAAAATACCAAGAGAAATGCGCAAACACACAAAAGAACGCAAATTCAGAGCCAGGTACATATTTTTTTGGAGAGGATAGGTGTTAAGTAGCAGAAGGCCGTGGTTCTTTCAGATCCATGTTTTCTATCTTAAAGCCGCCCTCTAGGAACAGAAATTTGCAGCCCGTGCGCACTGAGACCCGTTGGGCCAGCACTCCAGATAAGGCCTGGTTTTGGTATGGACACGACTCATGGGGCGGCGACCTGAAAACCCGCGCCCAAAAAAAGAACAAATACTTCTCAACGAGAAACATTGAACAGAATGTAGACGAAGCCCAAATACTAAAACGGTGGGCCCAGAAACGTCGCCTGTTCCATGGCTAGCTTTACGAGGTCTCTTGATTCAATATTCGGTGGAGCTTATGATTCTGGGTCCAAGGAGCAGACCAGTCTACGCGCCTGGGGGCTAGATTTGCAGCCCATATGCTCCGGCCTTTTTTAGCCCCCAAGTCACGTGGGCCGAGTCGCGCGGGCCGATGCTGGCTCCATTTTTTCGGGTGCGCCATGCCGGCCCTATGGCCACGGCGCTAGGATTCGCGGCCCCATACTCCCTTGCGGCCCTATAATACGTGCGGCACCTAACTACTCGCGGCCCTGTATCTCTCGCGCGCTGGGCTCAAACACGGCCCGTGCCCAGCAAACACACCCAGAGGGCCAGTTCCGCAGTTTCCATCAAAACACAGAAAATGAAATCTCACACACTTCGCGACGCCCTACATCGCCATGACGCTGCTCGAAAAAATCGCCCCATCCATGCCCGAACCCCCAGCGGTGGTCTCTGAAAACCACTCCGATGACGCCCCACCGCCCCAGCATGGTAGCGCCGCGGCACGTGACTGTCCATGAAGATCAGCCACGAGTGCAAGGCAAGAAGTATGAACCACCACCAAACCACCACCAAACCACCTTTAAAAACAACCGAAAACAACAAAACAACAAAACAACAAAACAACAGAAAACAACAGAAAGTACAAAAGATCCAAATCACAAATCACAAAAAAACTCATATATTTCCCACAACGCCCCACTAATCATGCCCACCACCAACCCCAGCGTCGCAGCGCCGTGGCCACGTGACCGGCGCATCGCAGCGCTCGCGCGCCAAACCTCCCCAACCAAATGCCAAAAACTTCCCCAAAACCCCCTTCTCCCTCCCCTTCCTTACCCCACACACCCGCCGCAGGCCCAGCATGGCGTCCCCCCACACCAACGCCGCGCAAACGCAGTCGCCCCAGTCGTTCCTCTACACGTGCTTGGCCAGCAACCACCTCGGCGCGGCCGCGGCGGCCGTGGTGGCCTCGTTGATCAGCCACGGGCGTCTCTCTGCTCGTGAACTCGCCGCCAAAACGCGACTCCCGCCCAGGCAGGTGCGCGGTGCGCTCGTGTCGCTCATCCAGCTCAACTGCGTGCAATACTGGGCGGAGCCCGCGGGCGTGCACTACTCGTTCTGCGCCCAGGGCTTGGACGTGCTCTTACACGGCGGCGACATCATCTGCCACGTCAAGGAAACCCACGGCGCGGACGCGGCCGAGGCCGTGCAGAACGTGCTCCAGCACGGCAGCATGGCAGTGCACGACTACATGTCGTCGTTTGCAGACCCGCACACCCAGGCGGCCAAGATGGCGGTGTTGGTGCGCTTGTACGGCGCCGGCTGGCTCCGCCGGCTCCAGCCGGTCGATCTTCTGCCGCCCGAGGACTTGTGGGCACGCACATACCGCGACATGCTCCAGCACATGCCGCGCAGCGCCGCCACCAGCGAGATCAAGCGCGTGGCCGAGGCGCGCGAGAAGACCCAGGCGCGCATGCTGGACCTCTACGCCTCGGGCACGGCCGCTGCGGACGTCTACACGACCAACAACGGCGTGCGCGTGCTCCGCGCCGACCTCGTTCTCACAATCCACTGGCAGCGCTACCTCCAGGCGTTACGCAGTCGCGCGTTCGTGGCCTTGGCCCGCCTGCGCTTGGGCGTGGTCTCAGCGCACGTGTACGCGGCCGGCTGTGCGCTCGTGGAGCAGCGCCTGCCGGAGTTGCACCTCCGCGCGCTGGCCATCTCCGGCTTGGTGCTGGGCCCGGACGACCAGCTGATGTTGTTGCGCCTGCGCGAGAACGCGTTGGTGGACGCCAAGCAGACCGTGTTCTCCGTGCGCGACGTGGCGCGCCGCTTGCCGCCACACTTGGACTTGCGCAACTCCATCTTGACGCAAAACTTTCTCAAGCCGGGCCGGCGCGCGGCCGCGCCCGCGGGGCCGCCGCCCAAGAGAATCAAGCGCGAGGACGGCGCCGCCGTGCCGGCTCTGGACGATCCAGACTTGGCCCTGGATGAGCCAGACTTGGCCCTGGCCGCGTTCGCCGCGTCCGCCCTGGCCCTGGATGCGTTCGCCGAGCCCGACGTGGCCCTGGCCCCGGACGCGCTCGACAATGACTCCGCGGACCTCCACCCCGAGGCTTTGGTGGCCGAGCACTTGCGGCTTTTGGCAGCCTGCAAGACGCCGTTTGTGGTTGAGACCGCGCCGGGCTCGTACACGGTGCCGTTTCTCCAGGTGGCGCGCGCCGTCAAGCAGCACCACTACGACGCGCTCGTCAAGGCCACGTTGGGGCCCAACGCGCTCCGCGTGCTCCGCTGCGTGCAGACCATGCGCTTGGTGGACGAGAAGCTGATCTCCAACGCGGTCTTGTTGAAGGACAGGACCGTCAAGAACGAGGTGTACAAGCTCGTGACCAACAACGTGCTCGAGATCCAGGAGGTGCCGCGCAGCGTGGATCGCGCGGCCCTGAAGACCTTCTACCTCTTCCGCCACAAGCCGGCGCCGTGCCACGCGTTCGTGGCCCGCTCGCTATTGCACTCCATGGGCGCCGTGCTCAGCAACGTGGATCTGTTCCGCGCGGATCACCGCATCCTCCTCGACAAGTGTGAGCGCGAGGACGTCAAGGGGCACGAGGACGAATTGCTCTTGGACTCCGAGCTCAAGACCTTGCGCGATTTGCAGCGGCGCGAGGTCGCCAACATCGGCCGCTTCAACCGCCTCAAATGGCTCCACTTCATTTTCGGCTGTCTCTAGGCTGGACACTGGGCAGAGGCTTTCCGGTCCAGCGGCCACGCCTGTTGTTGTTTCGGAAGTTGGCCATCTTTCGGGCACTGGACGATTTTGCGTCGGGGCCTTTGTTGCTGTTTCGCCTTGGGTGGCTCAGTGGCTACTCCGTCTTTCTGGTCGTCGCGCACAGCTCTCCGGTACTGGCCATCGCCTGAGTCCGCAAGACTCTCGAGCTGGTGTCTGCATCTATGCCCGCCTGTGTCTGGTCTCCTGAAACACTGCATCAAAGGGCCGCAAGACGGCGTTTTAAACGTCATACGCACCTGATGCCTCTTGTGCTTGTCAAAGTGCTACAGTAGCAAATTCGCCAAGTCAGGCGCCGTTTGACAGAACAGAGCCAGTCTCCACTCCGTCGAATCTTGCTGCCTCGTAGCTACGCCTTTGAAAATATACGTCGTTTCCAAATGCACTGCAATCACTTGGCCCGGTGAAAATGCCGAGTTGTTTACGCTTGGAAAATTGCCATTGTCCATAATAGATTCAAAGGGCCCGAGCAGGCATCAGTATATAGCGATTTTCGGCCCATCCGACAGTTCCAATCGCGGACTAGTTTCGGAAATCACACGTCTGTGTATAAATCCTGTCGTTCACATCTTCACGAGCGTCAAGATGTAATTGTCCCGAGCATCATGGAACTGGCTCTAGCATTCTGCTACCCAAGACTGCAACCCAGCATACTCAACAGCGCTCTATGACTTCTTGCAAAGGGGCGTATACATCTTTTCTAACCCTTTTTAATGCCGTACCAACAAAATAAGAATGAAAAGTGAGTTTTGAGAATTGTCCTCTCTAAAACACACCAATGACTAAACCTTGATGATAGTCTCTACATCTGCGACGTACCTACTACGAACAAGGAAATTAAATTTGATGAATGTATCAAGTCATGACGCAAAAATCGTCATATCTTTGAGTCGGACCTACAGCTATTTTGTATGATCAACAACACAAATTACATGCATTGTGTACCCTAAATCAGGCCGTGTTGGTGTCTTCCATTCTCTAAATACTCTGTCAAAGTTTGAACCTTATTTTCACCGTTAGCCGCTCAGACAGGTGCTTGTGGTTCATAGAATTCTATAGAGGTTCCAGAAGACTTGAGTTCAAAATTCATTTTTGAGTCAGAACAGAAATGAATATTTGTTCCGGTCCAAGTATTTCATGGTTCTTGACGGGTGGCTATATAAAATGTGTGATTTTTCTGTCGAAAAGACAGGTACACGACCTCCCTTTTCAATACACCTTCAGCAAACACACTAGAGTCTTAAAAAAACGGTTCTTCTCAGTCCGATGGGAAAAATCACAAGCGATTCTTTCTCTATTTTGGACTATTCCATCGTTTCAACATGAATGTTCTGGAAGCTTTGTTGTTCTTCGGACACGCATGAGTCTATTTCCCAAAAAAAAACAGAGCAGTCCTATTCATCACCAGTGTGTCAAGAATGACTTATGATCTGACCATATATATAATTAGGTTGTATCATAGCAGTGAAACTAGAAAGGCGCCCACATGGTTGGTCTAAGCTCCCCCGTCTTTTTCTCAATTTTCAATAGAGTTCCTAAGTTTTACCTTTCGAAAAAAACGAAGTAGGGCGTAAGTTGTGCAGAAGTTGAAAAACTACTTTCTTTTATCAGATTTATAACATCCTTCCTTTTTCAAAACGCCGATAAGCAGCTCAGGTCAGTGATACTAGTATTGTAGAAATTACTCATGCATCTTTTTGCTGAAATGTGCCGATAAGCTATTAGCTCAACGACATAATACCACCGCAGGATAACCTTAAAAATCAGTTTTCCACATTCCCATGGCTTTGACTCCCACAAAGTAGTTTTGTAAGAGGACCCCAACATTTACCGTAGTCTAGGCTTAGCGTCTAAAACAATATCCTCAAACCTAGTAGCCAAACAAGAACACTAACTCCACCAGAAGCTAGACTTGCCACCAGTGCACAAAAGTTTCACTTCACAAGACATGTACTCTAATCACAAGCCTATATCACAATCCAACTCCACACTACTTGAGCTGCTAAAGCACCGGCCATCCTCGACCCAAAAACACAGGGCAGCATTGTGTAAATGGATTTTGAATTCCAGTACTGCATTCATTGTGTTAATCAATGTATTCCCCAATCGTCATGCGCACCCAAAACCCCAGCCGTCTGGGCACGTGACTCAGCACATAAACAACATCTGTACGGCAATCTACAAACCCGTGGAATACGTCCAAAAGTACATCAGAGGAGCCCTTCTGGATCCATACATATCCGCAGATGTCACGTAAGAGGTTTCCGGCTCTTCCGGATGGAAATGATAAAAAGCCAGGAAAAACCTCAGCAAAAAATACCCAGAAATCGTTTGCAGACCTCACCAACAACTCCTCGTTTCTGTTTGCTAACAACACATTTTCCGAACAAGAGAGCGACGATCTTCTCAGTTGGATTGACGGCTTGAAGGATCGTGCATCTACGTTATTTGAAAAACAACGTGACGAGCTCGTGCAACTCCGTAGAGATGCACAGAAAGAAGAGCTCCGGCGTAAATATAGAGAGCAAATTGACCTGACATCTTTCGACAAGTTGGGTCATATTTTGGAGTCCGTAAAGCTGGAGTCACCCAAGAGCAGACGGCCTCAAATGGGAGGAAAATGTCCACGATCGCATGTGCCAGATTCTCTGTCAGCAAGCGAACTTCAGTACAGAGATTCGCCATATCCGGAGGAAAATGACCAAGAAAGCGAGGACGAAGAAGAAGTGGACGAAGTGGACGAAGAAGAGGATGATGAAGCGGGCGTTCAAAGAATTGAGAATCGATACGCCAGCCGTCCTTTTTCAAGCTTCCAGGAAAAACACATCTCTGCGAATCAAGAGTACGGCGAAGATGATGATGTAGTGGAAATCCTTTCTGGTGAGTCCGATGCTTTTGAAGAACAACCTACTCGTGAATATCATGTCAGTGGATACGAGCATCTTGAAGAAGAAGAAGCAGAAGAAGACGAAGAAGAAGACGAAGAAGAAGACGAAGAAGAAGACGAAGAAGACGAAGAAGACGAAGAAGAAGACGAAGAGGAAGACGAAGAAGAAGAAGAAGAAGAAGACGGAGAAGAACAGTATGAACACGGAGAAATAGAAGTTGAACTAGAAGACTTCCATGAAGAAGCAGATTTCGATGAAGAAGAAAATTTCCTTAGTCACCAAGGTATCAAGCCCCAATCAAAGAACGACAACTTCGAGCCATATCAAACCACGCAAGCTGCACCTCACCTTCACCAAAGCGGACGCCCAAATCTATATGATTCGTTATCGCATATTTCTAGTTTCCATCCGCGGCGTCAATCTGAAGAATGCCTCGTTGATTCTGAAGACAATGAAGAGGGAGTCGAGACAGCAGAGGTTTTTGACGAAAAGTTCTCAATTGACCAAACCCATAACGACTTGCCAATCGAAGAGAAGCCGTACCGTGATCAAACCAACAGCGTCGATGACAACTATAATGTGTTTTCTCAATGCAATGAAGTTCCATCGGTTGAAAATGAATCTGGCGTTGAAAAAGAAAGCCAATATGCAAAAGCTGCGCTCAAATTTCAAGAAATCGATGATCAACCCGTGGGTTCTAGCGCCAATCTTTTCGAGCAAGATTTCGAGCTCCAGAAACGGTCGGAAGAAGATTTCAAATCCAATGATGAAAATGAAGTGCTCGAAGATGAAGTAGGAGTGCTTGAGGAAGACTCCGGGGTTTTGTCTGAAGAAAATGCGCTGCCAGAGCTTGAAGCAAGTGATCGCAGTGTTCACAGATTGGCAGCCGAGGGCGAGAGCTATCATTTCGACAGTGTGGAAGCTATGAAGCTTGCAAATGAATTCGCAACACAAAGTCAGTTGGCAGGCACTGATGCTGATCTTGCCGGAAAGAATACAGACCGTGCAAAATACAATCTTGATATATCTGAACAACTTAAGCCAAGAAACACACTCTCGAAGTTCCAAGATGATCAGTCAAAGAACAATATTTTTGCGGAGTTGGCCAATCAAGCTCTATCTGCAAACACAGAATCAGAGGCTCAACTTGATAATGAAGTTGCAGCTGTCTTGGGAGAGACTATCAGGTATCAAGAAAAGAAAAGTCATCAGGCCAACAGTGATGATATCGAGATATTAGACGAAGATCTTGAAACAGCCCCTGAGTCTTTTGATGAAGATTTTACTGATGGTCATGATGCGGGCACGCGGGAGAACATCAGTCTGACTATAGATACCCAAAAAGAATTAAATGAAAGCTGTGCAAATGCGAACTCAGATGAAATAAAACTGCAAGGAGATCAAGCCCAAACGATGCCATCGGTTCCTGAACAGCCAGCTCGGTTTTTGTCCTTCAAGACCATCGCCAACGAAGATTCAAAAACCGTTCTCAAGCAATTGAAGAAGATGGAAAAGAAATTCAAAATCAAGCTTGACGCAGTCGACAAACTTACAAATGAAGTGGGCGATGTTCTGGAAACAGACTCAATGGATCAGCTGCTGCCTGAACCACTCCATGATTCTTTCTACGATGCTGCTCCAGATGTTGAGGACACGGAAAGACTCGATCCAACTTCTGAAAATGAAACCAAACGAGCATTAAGTGACAAAACCCTCGAAGGATACGATGTCACCCTAGGAAATCAAATCTTGAAGAACAGAATCTCACTGGCGCTTTCGGAAAAACCAGAAGTGCCCGTGCTTAAGGACGTTGAGCCCACATCAAAGAAGCCAGAGGTTCCCATGCTTTCGAAAGTCGAGGATGATGACACTCTGTCCGAATCCATGTCAGAGAGTGAACAACTGATATTGGAGGAGACTATACAGAGTGAAGTGGTAGTCATTGAGCCAGCTGATGGTGAAGATGTTCTTGTGATTTACGATGAATTCACAGAAGTTGTTAGCAGTGAAATTTTGGCACCTTCGGGATTCGAGGAACCATCTAACCAATCACCA